TGTTCAGTTGTCTCATCCTCACCAACAGGACTCCTGGGACACGGAAGATGGTAAAACGTTATCCTGTACTGTGCCATCCTTTGCTTGTCATCGGACTTAGGGAAAAGAAGGGGTTCAGCTTCCCTGGTTCAGGACATGAAGCATTTGATCAGAGATCATTTGTCTAAACCAGTGTTTCTCCATCTTCCTAATGCCGAGACCCTTTAATACAGTTCCTCATGTTATGGTGATGGCCCCCCCAACCATAAAATTATCTTCGTTGCTACTTCATAACTGTAATTTTACTAGTGTTGTTATGAATTGTGATGTTAATACGTGATGTGTAGGATATCTAACATGTAACCCCTGTGAAAAGGTCATTTTGCCCCAAAGGGTTTGCGATCCACAGGTTGAGAACCACTGATCTAAACACTTAAGTAATTAATTTTGAAAAGTATCTTTAAGCTTTTAAATGAGGTAAACATACAGAGAACGCAGCGCAGCAATGCGTTTCTTGAACTGGAATCCATCTATAAGTCTTGAGGAGTCAACCCAAACTGGGTCAGTCTTCCTATTTCTGGGTATGGGGAATTATCACAAGTATAATACATTTAACTCTGGTTTGAATGTGAAGTGCCCTCTACAGGTTCATGTGTGTATGGATCAAGCAGGTAACTTTGCTGTGGAAATTTGGGGGAATTTTGGGACATAGGTCCCCAAAGTGGATATTAGAGGGGTATGGCCTAGTCCCACTTCCAGCCTGAGTTCCCTTTACTACATGAGCTAATAAGATGTTGACAATCCACACCCCAGTCACTCACTGCCATGGCTACTCCAGTTCCGATGCCCTTCCCACTCGGAAGAACCAGACCCTCTAAACTATGAACCATAGTAAATATCCCTCTTTTAGGTTGTTTCTGTCAGGGATTTTGTCTCCAGAACAGGAAGAGTAAACCATGAAGATCTTGAATACGCTTTCTCCACTTCTCTGAGTCTTTTCTCCAGCAATTTATTTTTTGAGATGGGCACCTGAACGGGGAAGGGAGCGGCTAAAGGGGCATTATAACCTACTGCAGACACTGCTCCAAGTCTGCTTTTCAAAAGACAACAAAATGCAGTTTCTTAGGTACAGCCTGTGGCAGAATGAATCTACAGCCTCAATTTCCTCTATCTTTGTTGATGTTAGCAGGGTGTTTTCTCTAGCGAGAACATCCCAGCTGGCATCCCTGAAGGACTGTCTCACAATGACATCCCAGTGAACTGCACCTCCTCAATGTGGGGGCCAAGAGCTGGATAGACCACCCTGGTGAGTACCTCAAACTCCTACAGTTCCACTGGTCCTCCATTTCTACATATTCACTGAGGTTTCCGATATCATAAAGCTTTCATAAACATGCCTTATGGGACTGGAGAGAGAGCTCCGCAGTCAAGAGTGCTCATTGTTCTTGCAAGAGGACCTGTGTTGAGCTCTGAACAGCTACATCTAGACACACACAACCTCCTTTAACTTCATCCCCGGGATATCTCATGCCCCCTTCTGGCCTCGGTGGTCACTGCACACACCTGGAAAACATACACACTTACAAATAAAGAATGAAATAAGAAAAAAAGAATTAGTGTAATTACAAAAATGTACCCAAAATGGTATTAGGCATGTTGAAGGAGGTGGCTTTCCCAGAATCCCTTCCACAAATTACAGTAGACAGGAGCTGTACAATTGCATGAGATTCAAAGCACCAATGGCCTTTGCACAGAGGTTGAGTTTCATCCTACTGCTTTTAATGTGATTCTTGAAAACTGATCATCTTGCAGGGATCTTTGTCCAGATGACCTTTAATTCAGAGAAGTTGGTGTTTGTATGGAATAATGTAGTCATTTTACAAACACTTGTCCAATATACACTGCCATTGTTCCCCATAAGGTCTTTAGAATCAACTTCTCACTGTATGTATTGTGCAAAATTAGAAACGTACTATTACCTATCAAGATCTAAGACAAAGTAATTCAGAGAAGCATGGAAAGTGATACAGTGAGGAATTGAACTCCAAATTCCCTTTCAAGCGAGTACGTGCTCCTTCTCTTCCAGCTGCAGCATTTGCTCCTGTAAACCTTCTGGCTCCTGGGATGGCGTGAAGAAGACTGCTCCTTTGCTGCATCATGCAGGGCTGTGGTACTTCTTAACTCACCAAAAAGTGTCAAAGATCCACTCTGACAATTTCTGTCCTTATTCTCCCCCCTCACTTTTATTCATCACTGCATCTTTATAGGATGGCAAGTTTAGTTTGGTCCGGATCTCTGCTCTGACATCGTACACTGGGACCGTGGAACACTTAATCATTGCCCTGAGTAGAGCTAGTTTGTCCTGTGTCCGAGAGATGCTGGGGAATGTTGTTTCTGTGTATGACTTGACACTTGCGATCTCAAATCAGGGGTCTGTGTACTGAGCCAAGAAAGCAATAGTTCCCACTCCCCCATGCTTATGTTTGTTTTGACTTGCAGCTTGTTCCCTCACTTTCTGTAATTCCATGGAAGTCGTCTTGTCTCTCTTACCCAGACTGGAAACATCTCAAACAGTGATTGGGTCTTTTTATTGTGTGACACAAATTAGGCACTAATTAATGTGCAGTAAAATGAATGAAAAAAAATAAAATGAACATAGTATTAAACTAACTCCTAATGACTTATTATCATACCCATAGAGCAATGCTTCATCATACAAGCTTCTTTTTGCAGCACATTGTGATTAATAGGGACCACAACTGACTGACCAATGCACAGAGGATAAGAAAATGAAGAATTCTTAGCTCTAAATGAGACATTTTTATCACATCCCATACCTTTGGGCTCAGAGATCCATTTGGGAGGGGTGGAGGAACATATAAGAACCAGAAGTAATGGGTGACTGCAACGAAGCCATACCCTCAAGACTTGAGACACAGCAGGGTGTACATGAACTCATAGCGATTGTGACAGCATGTACAACCGCAAGCCAGGGCAAATTCCAGCACAGAGAATGGAGGTGAACGGGAAGTCTCACCCCAGCTGATGAGTCATTTGCAGTTGATAGCTTCTGGGAGAGGGAACCAGTTTTCTTTGCTCCATGGTAAGTCAGTCACACTCTAGAGGAGAATTCACACATCCAAGATGATATGGTCACATCCTGGACTTGATGGGTAAAAACAAAACGAAACAAAAACAAAAACAGGGGGAGAGTGGATCTGGGAAGAGTTGGGGGAGGGGTGAATATGGTCAAAACTCATTGTCCGAAATTCTCAAAGAACTAAATAAGAAAGTGAATATAGCCTCCCTGTTGCCTGGGAAAGGAAAAGCTATAGAGTGTGGGTTGAAGAGACGAGCTCCCTTCATCTTGAAATGCTGTCAGTCAGATTTACAATCCTGTTGTGGTTGGTGGTGCTTTTATGGTCACTGACAAACAGTCCTTTGTACTAACATCTCTTCAGCACCAAACTGTGCTTTGTATTAAGATGGTGTATAAGGCACATGTTCCAGCTACGGGCTATGCATTCACAATCTGTTCTCAGGGTGATTTCTACCCCACAGGGATCTTATCAATAGAAATAAGTGTGTGTGTGTGTGTGTGTGTGTGTGTGTGTGTGTGTGTGTGAGAGAGAGAGAGAGAGAGAGAGAGAGAGAGAGAGAGAGAACTAAGAAACATAAAGGTGTGTGACTACGAGATCAGACAGCATGGAGTTCAAATTCCACCTCTTCTATTCCTGCCTGGGCAATGTGAGAGAACAGCCTAATCCTCTTAATCCACACAATGGAGACCGCAGAATCTTACTCTTGTGGACACTTTTATGTTTTTAAACTCCATTTTTCCACAGACAATATGGAGGTAAAATGGTACTTGACAGACAAATGTGTCTGTAGGACTAATATAACAAGAATAATCATCTAAGAGGGTACTTAAAATTTAATAAGCAACTAAACACATTCCTTTTTCGTTTCAGAGTATGATTTCTGCACATATCCAAGTGACAGGCCCAGAGACCACTCCTCTTCCCTCCTTAGGTTGACATTCCCGTCTCACCCAGGTCATTAGTGAGGCTGCAAACACCATGATGGTCCGGAGGGTCTTGTACTTGTGCTGGCAAAATTTTGAGGGGAAGGGGAGTAATTCAGTTGGCCAAAGGCTTGCTAGGCAAGTGGGAAACCCTGCATTTGATCTGCAGCCCTATGTAAAACCCTGAGTGTGAAGGTCCTGCAATCCCAGCCCTCGGGCTAGAGACAGAAGAGTGCAGAGTTCAAGTTCATCCTGTGCTACACAGTATGTGGGAGGCTAGCCTAGGATTTATGAAGTCCTGTCTTCAAAAGTTTCTTATTTCAGGACAGTCAAAGCTTCTTGTGAACATCATTGTGTGAGATTACAGGGCAGAGTAATTGGAATAAGATATTAGTTATAGATATCTTATATACCTAAGATATCACATAGATATTAAAAAGAATTAGAAAATAGCTATAAAATAAATATATACACAAAGAATAATATTCTCCATAACTTTTTATTTATTTAGCTGAAAATGATAAATCCATATATTTAAATATATTATATATAACATATGTATGCATAATATGCATGTATATATGTATACAGCATGTGCATATTCCAAATATAATGACATATATGGTATATAACCTGGCATATATATCAAAATACCTCAAGGCAATTAACTTCCTTGTGACCTACTGAGCTGTAACAATACACTGAAAACTTGCTATTTTACTCTTGAGTGGGTAAATTCATAGAGAATAAAGAGAGGGAAACAATAGCTGCTAATAGAGGAAATTTTAGAGCCAGCCAAGAGGCGGTCAGGACTTCCTCCTGCCATGCCATTGCGGCGGGACCACAGCTCCCAAGTTGTGCAACACCTTCAGTAAACACTTGCTCATGCGTATACAATGAAGCAGGGAGTTTCACTCTGTCTCCCTTAAGAGGAGGCTGGGGCAGAAGCAGCCTTACAGGTGTGAGCGGAGGCAGGCACTGCTCCTGGGACCGCAGCATGTTGCAATGGAGTCTTCTGGTAGTCTCTTTCCTCCTTTCTCCAGTTCCAGGTAGGTGTTAACCCTTCTCTGGGCTCTGTTCAACGTGTCTCAGGACCACATGCTATCCAACCGCTCCTAGTCATAGGTATATAATACACTGGATAGCTGTTTCTTCCCCTTTGCCAGTTTTACTAGCCTTTTGGGCTGGTTTTAAGCTGTGGTTTGAAGGCTGTGATGGATGTGAAAGAGGGTAAATAGAGGTTTGTGTGAAGCATTTATTTTCAGCTGTTACCTTAAAAGAGAAAAGGAAGCTCTTATATTTATATTTAAACCATGAATATGATCTTTGAATCAAAACCAAAAAACCAAACAAACAACAGAAAACCACACAGTTATCAAAACCAATTGTGTTCATTTTTAGTTCAAAATTTGAGTGGTTACGTCCATCAAGGATTTGAGAAAGTATCTGCTCTTATAATTCAGCAACTTAAAACACTTTGGACAGCATGGTTTTAGGCTCAGTGGTAATGGATACAGTTAATTGGCAGGGTAACATGCTCAATTTTGTGAGAAAGCATTGTGATGTTATTGGTGAGGAGGAGTCTCAGATAGGTGTGTTGATAACTTTCCCTTACAGTGGTTACAGCAGACACCTAAGAATTTGGATGCAGTGAATTCTTCTTCATAACACATTCTAGCAAGTAGGTTGCACCATTTAAAAAATTCTCCGCTTAGGCTCACACGCCTGGGACCTGACAACACATTTCTCTAGCTTCTCTATGTCTGTGTCTGGAGCTTGAATCTTCATCCTAGCTGGCAAATGTTTTCCTGGATCATGGATTGTTTGCTGGGACCCAGGAGTAGTGAATGAATGGTGAACAGAAGTGACAGCGTCAAGCACAAAAAGATTGTCCTCCTCCCCGACCCGCTCTGCTCCTTCTTACTAAAAATGGCTTCTCCTTTGTTTCTCAGACTTGTAAAAAGTGTACTTAACACCCTTGAATTTTAGGATACTATTATATTCTTAACTATGTGAGCTCCTGGCTTAAAATTCCTATTTGGATTTGCAGGAATTGAAGTGTTTGTAGGGATTCCTTCCTCATATTTCTGAAAACATTATCCCCAGTGCTGTTGGGGACACCACTCTTAGTAGGAACAGAACTGTTTGGGAGTCAGCTCTGCTCAAGGGGAGAAAGATTCAGCAGATGCAGTGACAGTCTCACGGGTGATGGGGGTGCATGCATGCTTCTGTCATTTCAGGGACACCAGGTAGAAATCTCCAGAAACAAAGCTGTTTCTGCTCCTCCCTCTCTACATCAGAACATGGCAGCAAGAGATGCAAAGTCTTAGAATCCTCTCTAGAAGTCTGACGTCATTCTGGTTGGAAAAACCAATCCTTACTGGGAGTCTAGCAAGGGTTTTCCAGCCAGAATGCAAGAAACAAAAGATTTGTTTTCTTACCTCTTCCTCTTTATTTCTCCCTCCACATCATCCGTCCTCCATGCATGTGCCTTCTGGCCCTATCTTTTACCTGGTTCCATTAAAAATAAAAAAAAATTTTAAAAAAGCCAGATGCTTGTAATGAACTTCACCATTCCCTGAGAAAAGTGACATGGGATTTCATCATAGGAAAAGTAAAAACACATATTAAAGGCGTGGTGGCGCACGACTTTAATTCCAGCACTCGGAGGCAGAGGCAGGCGGATCTCTGTTAGTTCGAGACCAGCCTGGTCTACAAGAGCTAGTTCCAGAACAGGCTCCAAAACCACAGAGAAACCCTGTCTCGAAAAAAGAAAAGAAAAAAAAACCACATATGTAAAAAGACACGGGAAATGTTTAGGGGAAGAGGAAATAAATTAGTGCATTGACAAAAGACAAATCTCCATCTCGTTTGTCCAGGGATGCAGTGGCTTTAAAAATACATTTATTTTAGCTAGCAGTTATTTCTGGCCTTTATAAAGTGACTGGAAAAAGTAAGCTATTATTCACAATTTAACCTATATAGCCAAATAATAGACTTCATTAGGATATGGGCTCTAGTTTCCCCCTCTACTCACTTTTCCTGAATAATGTTCACAAGTTCAAGAGTCTGAGGGGGACAGAGAGTCAATGTCGTAGCATAAACTTGCATTAAAGGCTTGATGCCTCATTTGGAAAGACAACCCTGACGCAATTTCTAACAGAATTGGAGCAACATGCAGATGCCAATATTATGCACAAATGGTCCCCCAAACGAACCCAGATAGAACAGCATTCTAGAATGAGGTCAGCCATGTCAATCTCATTAGTGAGTCCTGCTTTATTTTAAACTAACAAACAGTGAAAATCGTCTGATCCACAACCACAGACTCGCACCTCTCACTCAAGCCAAACTGGCTGCCTTCTCTCTCTTGATCCAGTTTTGCCAGTCAACACTAATTCAACACATGAGTTCTGTGGGAGAGAGAAAGCAAACAAGCATTCAGACAAATTTAATAGAAACATATTGTGTTACGCCTTGGATTTGTGTAATCCCTGGATGGCTGTTAGCTCTGTTTATGCCACTGGCTTCTAAATAATGAACTTGATTTTATTCACCTGGGAGGAGGCTGCCTTCTTGCCATGAAAAGAGAGGATGCATGAGGCAAACAAGATCCATTCCTTTCCATGCTGTGGAAATCCCAACACCTCAGACATCCTATTTCTAGGGTATTCTAGCTTTCGGGAGAAGCGGAGCCTTTTAAGAGAAATCCTATCTGTTTTCTTTAGAGTACGAACTGTGTTGCAAGAGTTTGGAATGAACTGGAAACTTAGCTTATTTTATATAGCTAAGCGAAGTTGCTAAAAAAGATACACTTTTATTTGTTTGGGTTTCTGCTTGGAAGTGCCTCCCCATCGAAGAGTGGGTTGGAAATAAATTGTGTGAGTAGCATATACTGCGTTGAGTCCAAAGTTAAGAACAAGTTGGTGGCTTTCTGTTTTGTGAAGTGTTAGGCTTTCAACTAACTGGAAGTGTGTGTTCAATGCATAGGGCACCCAAAAGTGCTTGCTGTTGGATGGGGTGACCTAGTTCCCTGTTCACTTTCTCCCCAAAGAGAAGTGGGGCTGTTGTCACATTCGCTCTATAGGAGGGTCAGGTGGATATTGACATCAATTTATGACTCAAAGGGTTTCCTGTTAGAACCACACGTGTTGGGGATGAGCCCAACCGATATTACCTTCTGGCACTAAAAAAAAAAACCCAACAAAAACAAAAACAAAAAAACAAAAAACAAAAATAAAAAAACTAAAAAAAAGTTTATCTAAGTGGGTGCTTTATCCTTAGGAAGAGTAACTTAAACACTGTGCCATTGCTACAATCCTCCAATATGGCATTTAAACATTTTAAAAAGTTATTTCCACTTTGTAATTGTGAGTTTGTGAGGGTCTCTCTCTCTCTCTCTCTCTCTCTCTCTCTCTCTCTCTCTCTCTCTGTGTGTGTGTGTGTGTGTGTGTGTGTGTGTGTGTGTGTATGCAGAATGCAGGTATCTGTGCAGACCCTGAAAGAGCAACAGAGGCTCCAGAACTGGAGTTTCAGGCAGTTGTGATAGGAAGTGAATTTGGGGTCCTCTGAAAGGGCAGGAAGTGCTCTTAACTACTGAGCCATCTCCCCAACCCCACCCCTCCCCTGGTATGGCGTTTAAAGAAAAGAATTATTGTTTCTCGAGTATTAGTGAGAGATGGCTTCATAACTCAACATCCCCGGACTAATTGCGACGATTAGACACTATAACACACCAGGCAACACACTGGCACCGTATGGTGTGCTTGTTCTGTGGCAGTGAATTAAGAGCCTGCAGGGAATTGTACCCATGCCATTAGCTCACTTCTGACAAGACTGGTTTTTACCTCTCGGCTTCTCACTGCTCTGAAGTAATCACAAAATTTTAGCAGGCAAGAATGACCATCCCATATTTTAGAACATTAAAATATTATTTTTGTGCCCAATACTATTACTTTTTTTTCACTGGCATTGAAATGAATTGCGTATATATTTAATAAAAGTTTGTATTTCATTTCATAAAAATAAAAAGTACAATGATTACCTCATGACTGCAAGAAACGAGCAACCCAAGAATCTTGTGGACTGGGATTAGAGATGTAGGTAGAGAAGCCCAGCTTTGGGATCTGGAAGTAGAAGGCTCTTGAATTTGAGGCTAGCCTAGTGGGGCCTGGAAAAAAATGAAAAATAAACAAAAAGACAAAAAGGGAAGAAACAAAAACTTTGTATTACTATAGAAGCATGATAAAAACTTACTTGTCACAGCTGATGAAAATGTATTTTAATGAGCGTGGTCCTTTTGAATACATTATAGTGGTTTGTGTTTGTTTGTATAATATTATAGACTACTTGGACATGTCTTAATCTTCCCTAACTTTCCAGGCAGTTAAAATTTTCCACATCTAAAATTAAGATATTGTAGTATCTGCACATGACTTTAAATGTTTTTATTTATTTACATATTTTACATTTTTGTGTATATGGATATTTTGCTTATATGCATGTCTGCAGTCCACTTGCAGGCCTGGTGGCCAAGGAGGCCAGAAGAGGACCTCGGATTTTCTAGACTAGAGTTACCCAGATTTGTGAGTTGCTTTCTCCTGTGGGTGCCGAGAATAGAACCTCGGTTCTCCGCCAGAGCAGCCAGAGCTCTTAACTGCAGAGCCACCTCTTCAGCCTTAGCTTTATTTTTGAAATGTCTTCAGTAAACAGCAAGCCGTGGAGAGAAAGCTTCTTTCCTTCATTACCTTAATTGCTATTTTGACTCTGAGTGCATCCTTGGGGCTTAGTGAGCTTTCCTAATCTCCTGGGTTAAATGATTCTTGCGCGATCAAATGAGCTAAAAACATTCCAAACTGACATCGCTAGAATTTTTTTTTTTACTTCAATTCTCCTGAAAATAAAACGAAAAAGCATGAGTGCTAATTCTCTAAGAAGTCATTGCGCTAAGCTGTCTAGTGCCATCCTGCCTGGTGAACTCTGTCATTTACGTCTGCTATTGGGTGGGCAACAGTAGTATTGGTTTATCTAACCGTAAGTGCTTGGTCTGGGAGCTAGGTTTGCCCTCAGAGAAACTCCAAATGATGACACAGAGAAGAAAAGGAAACTTTTTCTAAACCCCGCTGCAGGCATCCCGCCTCTGTTCTCTGAGCTCCACTGGGTCTTCATCCCAAGTGGGCCTTTAGGCACCCACAGCAGCCAGAGTGGGAGCATTCACATTTCCTCTGGAGGTACCCGCAGAGAGCTGGGACCACACCATGTGGAGAACAAAAAGAAAAAATAAAAATATGGAAAGCTCTGGATTTCTCTTTAGCCTAGTTTCCAGAAAAGGCTTGGGCCTGAGCCTCTGAGATGGGAATTGGTTGTTTGAGGTGACTTTCTATTTTCCTCGCGGTGTGAATCTGGCCTCCCACCAGCCCTGCCCAGATCAGTGCCTCTGTTTTAGATTCTCTACTTTTCTAATTTTCTTATTTTTCTATGCCAAAAATGAAGGCTTGTCAGGACTGCTCATGACAGCCCTTTCTGCAATCCTAGCATCAGAGCATTTTCTCACGGGGACTATGTTTTAAATATTACTATTGAAACTTCCAAGGAACATGTGTTTTGATCAGAAAGGGTGTGCATCTGATTTCATTTTCATAGTAGCGAGGTCTTGGAGTATTTCTATTGTGTTATCATGGGAGTAACCGGCATCCACGGGAACGGAATGCTGCTTAGCTTGTATTTGTCTCGTTCTCCTGCTGTAGAGTCACTGCCCAGATCCAAAAGGGTAAAAAGAAGTGGGAACATTAACAAAAAATGTTGTCCTCAGAGAGACATTTGGAAATACCTCCCTGAGCAATACCAAAGGACAGAGATTAAATATTGGGGTGGGGTGGGGAATGGGTTTCTAGTGTTCTCCAGCTTTTCCTGTGTCAGGACACAAATCGCTGAAGGGCTCTGTGTGGCATCACCCATCATGGTGGCCACTTCTGAACAGCTGCTTCTGTCCCACAGCTTTGTCTTCTCTTCCTTCTTTCTCCCCCAGCGAGTGCAGCCAAAGAACTCCCTAAGGCCAAGAATTATGAAGTGGTTTATCCCATAAGACTTCACCCATTGCGTAAAAGAGAAACCAAAGAGCCAGAGCCAAAGGTTAGTGCATCTGTGATTGTCTTCTTTCTTGTACATGCAGCCTATGTGTGTGCCTGGGCACATATGTATACATGGAGGGGGGGGTCATAGTCATTCTTACATTGTCTTTCATTGTATTCACTTTGTTGAGAGTCTCTCAACAAATGAACTGGAACACTCTCATTCACTATTAGGCTGGACAGTAAGGATCTACCTGTTTCCATATATTTTTGGCTGGGATTAGAAGCATGGACCAAAATGCCAGGCTTTTTAAAGAGTTGGGTTCTGGGCAAGGAACTCAAGTCCTAATGCTTACATTTACCAACTGAGCATCTCCCAGATAACTCTTCTGGTTTTCTCAATGACTCTTGAATACACACACACACACACACACACACACACACACACACACACACGCGTGCGCGCACACACACACACACACAAACACACTTGTGTTTTTTTAATTATTTATTTATTAAAGATTTCTGTCTCTTTCCCGCCACTGCCTCCCATTTCCCTCCCTCTCCCCCAATCAAGTCCCCCTCCCTCGTCAGCCCAAAGAACAATCAGGGTTCCCTGCCCTGAGGGAAGTCCAAGGGCCACCCACCTCCATCCAGGTCTAGTAAGGTGAGCATCCAAACTGCCTAGGCTCCCACAAAGCCAGTACAATGGCAATGGGTTTTTGATCCTACCACACTTGTGTTTTTTATATACTCATATATGCATATTTATTTCTTTGGAGACTAATGGTATTAACTGTTATATTAGTTTGTTTTCCAACTTTTAATTTTCACTACAGCCCAAAGTTCTTCTAACTTCATTTTATACAATAAGTGATATATGTTGTTACAGAGTACAAACTTTGATATTTTATAATAATTTATGCTGTAGGCTTTCAAATAATTATGTATAACTTACAAGTTCTACTATTTACCTATCTACCATCTACCCACATACATAATTATTGCCTTAAACTAGATTCTAAACCAGAATGAGAAAATAAAACAAATTACAAAAGACTATAAATTAGCATTTTGTCTGAAATTTGTACCTTTTCTATGTAGAAAGCATTAAATTTTGTATAATTCTTATATTGTAATGAAATAACACATTGTCAGGCAGCAGTAGCTAGGATTTTTAATTAGTCACAAGAAGAAAGCTAAAACATGATATGCAGATCTGGGCATGGCAGTGCACATTCCTGGGGGGTTGTCTATATATTTGTGAGTTGGATACGAGCCTGGGCTATATAGTGAGTTGTAGGCCATCCTGAGCTATACTTAGAGGGCCTATCTGCAAAGTAAAATATGATGTCCCATTCAACAACAACATTTTAATTATGTACGTTCTGCAACATTTGATGGGAGTCAGAAACACAGAGATAGACGGGATGTCACTGATAACTGAAATCATCTAAACTGCAACTACTCAGGAGTGCATATCCCCCCATCAGAAATTTCTTCATTCAGTTTCTTCCAACTCCAATTGGTGCTAGCAGAGCTCTTAGTAGAGTCTGTGCACCAGGCTTTCTCCTTCGGTGCCACCAACCAGCTCCCAAATCATGACGTGGGGATGTCTTATTAATTATGAATGTTTGTCCTAGCTTAAGTTCATTTCTGGCTAGCTCTTTAATGTAAATCAACTTGTTTCTGTCTACCTTTTGCCTTGGGCCTTTCTTTCTTTCCTTCCTTCCTTCTTTCTTTCTTTCTTTCTTTCTTTCTTTCTTTCTTTCTGTCTGTCTGTCTTACTTTCCTGCTTCCTCTAATGTCTGTCTGTCTTGTACTTGCCAGGCTTCCTGCCCCTGGGACGGGGGGTCTCTTTCTCCCTCATTCTCTTCTCTTTCCTCTCTCTTTCTCTCAAGCCTAGATTTCTCCTCCTGCTTATTCGCTCTGCCCACCAATCCTTTCTATCCTTTCTCTGCCTACCTATTGGTTATTCAACTTTTTATTAGTCAAATCAGGCGCCTTAGGTGGGCAAGGTGGAAGCAGCAACACATCTTTCCATAATTAAACAAATGCAGCATAAACAAATGTAACACATCTTTACCTAGTAATTGTCACAACAAGTCTCTTTCCCAAAGCATCTTTATCAGGAAAATGTCCTACCAATTCTAATGGAATCCATCTGCAGCAGAGGCTTCCTCAAGGAAGTTTTCTTTAATAACTTCTTTCAATATCAAAAATGTCAGCTACATTTTTGTCTAAGTGTTTTAAGGAAATTTGAACATGGATAACGTGAGTTTATCACAGCTATGAAACAATCAAAAATAAAGCTTTTATTTGAAATTTATATTTTGATATGAAACCATAAATTTATTTACTGGCTGCGGTAGATGGTCAATGAGTTCTTAAATTATTTATACATATGTGCCATGTGTCTGTGTGTATATATGTGCAAGTGCAGGTAGTTACCTGTAAGGGTCAAAAGAGGTCATCAGACCCCTTGGAGATGGAGTTACTGGTTCTTGTGAGCCACCCTTCTTAGGTGTTAGAAGCCCCACCGGGGTCTTCTGAGAGAGCATCAAGTGCTTTTAACAAAGGAATTGTTCCTCCAGTCTCACAATTTTGATCTTTAGAGTGGTTTTGCAGAGTGATGTGTATAATGTTGTATGCTTGTTGTTACTGCAGACACATTGCTTGTCTAGGCTACCTCTGAACAGCCACACAAGCCTTATATTATTCTGATATATGGTGACCGAGTGGCAAGGGTGAGTGTGTGTTCATGTTTAGCTTTGCCAGTTCTCCTGTTGAAAACTCTGACTTTAGATAATCCTCTGTCTTCAAGTGAATAATGGTGGTGGTACTGTGTGGAAAATGGAAGATTTAACTTACACAAAGTGAAGTAGGTTGAAAATAACTACTCTGCCTGTGGTACCCATGGTGTCACTTGCATTATGACACATTTTCAAGGGTTTTCTGATTTCTGTGAATGGGATTTTTTCACTTCTTCTTTGCGACATCAGCTATTTGAAAGTCAGTGTTGATGCTGTCTTTTTCTCTCCTCGCCAGTGCTTATGTCTGACTCTCTACCCTTTCTTGTGGATTCTCTGCCACTTAAATGTTTACAAACACACACATGAACGCACACATGTGCGCGTGCGCACACACACACACACACATTTCTGTCTCTCTCCCTCCCTCTCTCTCGATCACCTTATATATTCTGTAAAGTCATTGTGGTATATTAATGAGCAGACTAACAGGATCATTTCCTGAAATCACACTTCATGGCTTGCCTTACACAATTTAGTTCTTGAATCTAAAATAACGTTGGTTTTACAAAATATAGGGTGGTGTGTGCATATGTGTGCATGTGTCTATGAGAGTAAATGCAACCTTCCCTTCTAGTTTGAAGCTATTTGCTTGGGTATTTTAATTTTTATTACATCTATTTGTTTAGTACGTGTATATGTGTGTATGTGCATGTGCATACATACATGAGTATATATACATATATGTACATATTATATGTGTGTGTATGTATGTACAAATGTGTGGGGGGTGCTCATGGCATGATGCTTATGTGGAATTCAGAGTGGAAAGGCAGGAGCTGTTTCATGCTTTCATTCACTAGTGACAGAGTTCAGGTTGCTAGGCAACCCTTCACCCACTCCTAAGCTGGCCCTAGTTAAAGGCACTTTCTATGTCTTTAGCATATCCCTACACCCCCATTCCCTCATCCTATCCTCTAACCTATGTTCCGGAATATAAATATTTGTTTCCATAAACACTTGGTGATCCAAATAAAGCCTTGCCAAGCATATCAAGACTATATATAAAGATAGCAGATAAAGGGCCTAGAATGGAACTCAGTGATAGAGTCCTTAGCCAGCATTTCCAAGATTCTGGGGTGAGTTCTCAGCACACACTCACACATGTACACACATGCACACACAGAGCTTATTTGTCTGTTTAGTTGGTGGATTGAGACCAGGGTAGAGACCAGTGGTTCTCGACCTTCCCAGTGCTGTGGTCCTTTAATACAGTTCCTTTGGTTGTGGTGACCCCCAACTATAAAATTATTTTTATTTCTACTTCCTAACTACAATGTTGCTACTGTTATGAATTGTAATGTAAATATTTCATATGTGGGATATCTGATGTGTGACCCCCCAACAGAGGGGTCATGACCCACAGGTTGAACACTTCTTGATAGACAGTTGGTTTCACAGTCCACTGCTAGAGAAATCAAGCATTACTTACCAAGGATTACATCGATAGAAATTGTCACTGGTTGATCATAAGTAACTCTTGGTGTATTTTTTGCAGGAAGCATTTGAAACTGAGCTAAAGTACCAGATGACAATCAATGGAAAGGTGGCGATCCTGTACTTGAAGAAGAACAAGTGAGTATGTGTCCAGCTGCTGCTGTCCTCCCCCGCGACAGGCTACAGTGGGAACGTGTGCCAGCAGGGGCTGTCATGAGCTTTATTGCCTCCAATTCTTGCCCCTCCAGCCTTCACTCCCAATGAGCCCAAGGAGCCAGCCAATGAATGCGCTTTTCTCTTGAGTTGTAGAAAGGCATTAGGTAAATTAATAGTTTACTAGGCTTTTGAAACTTTGTAAGTAGAACCCAACAATGAAGTGCAAGAAGACAGGTTAGATTGTTTTACCAAGGACTGGAGTGGTTCCAATATAATTTGCTTTGAGTTTTGCTAGTTTGTCCATTTGTGTGCTGGAGAGAGGGCCTCACATTACTGTCCTTTAGAAAGGACTGTGGCAGTGGGGGGCGGGTAATGCTATGCCTTTGTGCCAAACTCCTTGCAGGAACTGCTTTCTACCGCCTTTGACCTTGGTTCTGCTTCTTCTCAAGTTTCTCCTGGGAAATGCAACCAAGTCCCCTGTGATGAGGGGCTTTTTCCACAGCCCTCTGGAATGTCCCTGCCCCTCCCCGCTCCCTACCCCTCCATCCTGACCAATGTGAGCAGTGCTTTCCTGTGTAGACTTGTGGGGCCCATAGGGGAAGCTGAGGAGTTAACACTTGTCTTCACAGCCTGGGAAGGCTTATTCACTTGCTGGACTTTCACAGTTGACATGTGTAACCACGCTCTTCCTTTTTCTTTCTCCAGCAAGCTCCTAGCACCAGGCTACTCGGAAACATACTATAATTCCAGTGGAAAGGAGGTCACCACAAGCCCACAGATCATGGTAAAAACAGTCTCTCAAGTCTCTTACTAGTGGAGTGCACCCTGCAGGCTTACCTCCAGTGTCCTTGCCAGGCAAACAGGGCTGGAACTGCTTTTGCAGTCTTGGTCTCCAATAGCAATAATTACTTAATTGAACTTCTCACATTATTATATTTTCCTAAGAATAATGGAGGATGACCCCAGGAACTTTTTCCAGTTTTCATGGGAGGCCAGCAGTAGGAGCTCATACTTTTTTAAAGACTTATTTTCTGTAAGGAACTCTGTAACAAGAAGAGATACGTATGCCTGGTATTTTTAGATATTTGTTATCACACCTCCAAATTATGTGGTCTGTCACACTGAAGACTACTTCAGCATTGATGTGGGATTCCCCTCTACATGCTATGAATATGTTTCATTATCATTGGCTAATAAAGAAACTGCTTTGGCCTGTGACAAGGCAGAATAAAGCCAGGCAGGAAATTCAAACAGAGATATAGAGAGAGAGGAGGTGGAGTCAGGGTTACACCATGGAGCTGCTGAGGGAGAAGGACTTTGAATCCTTACTGGTAAGCCACAGCCTTGTGGTGATACATAGATTAATAGAAATGGGTTAACTTAAGATGTAAGAGCTAACTAGGAATGCATCTAAGCTATTGGCCAAATTGTGTTGTAACTAATAAAGTTTCTGTGTGATTATTCGGGTCTTGGCAGTTGGAAAATGAATGAACAGTCTCCATTCACATAATGACACCCAACAGGAAACAAAGGCTCAGTCACCTTTTATACAACATCAATTGCAGAACTCTATATTGTCATAAGTAATTCTGCTCTTGATCTGTCACCTGAGTTCCCCATGTGGAGCTTGACACATGGAACCCATAACTGTGTGGCAAAGCATCTACCTCAGATCTTCTTTTGATGTTGCAAGCCTTCAAACCTTCTGGGATTATGTAGTCACATTCCTTTCAAGATAGGAGGCTCTGGTGTGGAACAGCCACATGGAGAAATAACTCTGGAAACTTGCTCCAAATAGAATCATGGCCTGTTGTGCAGGTTCATTTTAATCTAGTTTGATTCTTTGGACACACAACCTGAATAACCCATAGGTTTAAAATGGGATAGGGGAGTGGTCACTCCAAATTGGAAAAAGTGCAGAGAGTAATACATTATTATAGAAGGAAAGTAAAAGTTAGATTTTTGGAGACTCAGATTTTAAGTTTAGATAACTAAATCCATGGTACTCATTTATTTTATTATTACTAATATATTATTAGTAATACAGCATTAATAATACATTATAATAATATGTAGACTGTACTATATAATGTTATATAGTATACTATATTTACAGTACTATATATAATACACACTGTATAATATAAGAATTTAGGGAGTCATTAGCTATCATAAATGATTTAATACATAAAATGCTTGTATTTAATTTTTTAAAAAGTCTCTAACATAACTATTGTGCAGCAGAAAGTTGTTCCTATGCAAAGATTTCAAATTCCAATTGATTGTGGAGTCTAAAACCTCTGAAAGTCTGAAGACTTTCATTTACAAAATATCTTTCATTCCCCTTAGGTTAACTGTTACTACCAAGGGCACATCATAGATGAGAAAGATTCTGAAGCCAGCATCAGCATGTGTGACGGTCTACGGTGAGACTTCAGGAATCTTTCCACATCCCACTGGCATAGAGTTCATGTCTGAAAAGTCTGAAGATCCTCAAGTATAACTAATTACATAATATAGTTAAGTGTGATTCCTAAAGGCCACACAATTTTGAAATTTCACACCAACATACCATTTCTTTTAAAGTATGAAAATTATATGACTGAACCCCCTTCCGTTTTGATTTTGTTCTTTTTCTCATTTAAAAGTGAAGAGTTTTTTTTAGACTCAGTTTTATAGTCAGACTCTTTGAGAGTGGAGTAGCTCCTCTAACCTCTCCTCACTTTTATTAATCTCTAGTTTTATTCTTAAGAACATCTGTGTCTTTCTGTCTGGCAAGTGACTCCCCATGTTCCGGTCTACCCCAGCAATACCAAGAACTGACCAATTGCCTTTTCCACACTTTTAGTTGGATACCTTAAAGAAGAATTTAAGTTTTAATGTGTCCTAAACTAAGTCAATTAATTGTCTCACAAATCATTACTTTCCCTGTGTTTTCCTGTGTTGTTTTTTTTTTTTTTTTTTTTTTTGGTTTTTCGAGACAGGGTTTCTCTGTCCTGGAACTAGCTCTCGTAGACCAGGCTGGTCACGAACTCACAGAGATCCGCCTGCCTCTGCCTCCCGAGTGCTGGGATTAAAGGCGTGCGCCACCACCGCCCGGCTTTCCCTGTGTTCTTGACCTCATGAGTGGAATAATCATTACAACTTAGCCAGTCAGGCATCATGAAGCCTTGAAGATTCCCTGCCTCATCTCTCGAGCCTCCATTTCCTTATCAAGCTCCAGTGATTATGTCTTCTAGTTACATCCTGTTGGTTCACTACATCTGTCTCTACTCAACTGTCCTACTTCCACTACAATGTACTTCAACTGAACCATCTGAAATAAGCAAACACACTTGCTCTCTTCCAGTTTTAGACACTGTATACTCATGCATTTCCACTTCATACTAATTAGATATAGCTGCATATATATGCCTTTGCTAAATAACCACATATACTTTTTAAATGATTTCTCCACACCCATTTTCCTCATTTTGAATATAAGGTTCACAAAGGAAGAGACTGTGAGATCTTTTATTTCCCACTTTCAGTACAGGGCTTAATAGTCTCGTTCAATATGATGCAGACCAATCTTAAGCCATTGGAGCTCTAGATTAATTAAGGAGTGAAAACACAACTGGAATTTCTTGTCATTTGCACAAAAGCTAGTAAGCCTTAAAAACAACGCAGTGAGCAACCAGCCACGAATCATCTCAGACTTCAGTACCAGGGCTTGTGAAGATGCTGGAAATGTTCCCTGGCCACACACTTCACCCACTTTGTCTGTCCACCCATACCACCCTCCTCCTGGCCCTTCTATTTTCTAGTTTATAGACCAAAAAATGAGGCTGCTGAATTAATGTTTCTCTGGATTCTTGGTTAATCAGAACAGGCCTAGAATTTTAATCCCTCATTGGACTCCAAAGCGACCATCCCTTTCTACGCCCCTGTAGTGTAGGAACGGGATGAAAAATGAAGTTTGAATCAGAAAACATTCTCCAGAAACAAGAAAGCTGGCCTACTTTGTTACCATAAGATTAAACTTCTTTGGCCTTGGCTAGGAAGTCATGAAGCCATTGAAGACACTGTGTCTGTGTAACTTCAAAGAAAACTTTTCGTTAAGAAGTCTGAATTCTTGTGCTCCTCAGGGGCTACTTCAGTCAAGGAGATGAACGATATTTTATCGAACCTTTGAGATCTGAGAGTCTGAATGAACATGCCCATGCAGTCTTCAAGAACGACCCCAACGAAGACCAGGCTAACAGCAGCTGTGGCGTGGATGATGTGCGGTGGCAACAAGGGCTGCATGGGAACGTGGTCCCATCTGCCACCAGACTGATTGTATGTAGAGTTTGATTGTTACTGGTATTTTAGTTTTGTGTCCTAACCTGGGTCCTAACCCTTTCCTTTGCTTCTCATGTATGTGTGTTGTATGTCCAGGCATATGTGTATACATGACCCTATGTGTGTCTGTAGAGACCCCTGGTTGATGTCAAGTGTTTTCCTCAAATGATCCACAGCTTCGATAATGAGCCACAGTTTCTTGAACCCAGAGTGTGCCATTATTGATACTCTCTGCGTAGCTAGGTTGCTCCAGGAATAACCTGTCTCTGCCCTTTCTGTACTTGGATTAAAGGCAGGCTGCCACACCCACGAATCTTTCACAGTGGGTTTAGGGATCTGACTTCCAGCACTCACATTTTCACAGGGAGGGTTATATCAGCTCAGCCCCCTTTCCAGCCCTTGGTTCTGATCTTAGCAGTGTGCTTAGTTCACATTTTATAGTCACCACTGAAACTAATAATGTATACTTTTACTAATGGGAAAAGTTGTATGTTACTAATTCACTTAATATGAATCTGTGTACAAACTGTTATCATCAACCATATGCAAAGGCTAAAAAGAAATCTGAGCTATGATATAGGACAGCGAGGAGCAGACAGCACTCACAGTGCCCTCTGAAGCTCTCCACAAAGTACACACGTGCAAAGACTTTTCTGTTGTGGTAGAAATACGATGGATTTGTGCTCAAAGATATTCAGTGTGCTAGAAATGCAGAAACAAGCAATATAAACATAGAGTCTACCCTTAGGAACACAGAATATTCTCTTCTTTGAAGAACCATTTTTTAAAAGATTTACTTATGTATTTTGTGTATAAGAGTCAGATCCCATGATAGATTTTTGTGAGTCACATGTAGTTTCTGGGAATTGAACTCAGGATTTCTGGAGGGGCAGCCAGTGCTCTTATCTGCTGAACTGTCTCTTCAGCCCCAAAGAATATTCTTTCTTGCGTGGAATCCTGTTCTGACCACAGAAGAAGAAACAAACCCAGCTGTTTCCAGCTGTGTGGTGTGCACTAACGTGTTCCTGTCCGTTTACTTACATTGCTTGATGATCTCTTCCAAGTGTTCTCAGAATCTGGGAACACCAGGCAGACTGCTTCTGTGTAAAACTGGAGGCCAATCTCTTTGGCACGGATTGAATCTTCACCAACCTTATCTAGGAAACCAGAAGAATTTGCCCTGGCTACATGTTTCTCTCAGTATCATGCTGGTTCTGGTTGGCACTAGCCTCTGCTCTTCCCATCTTGATTCTTAGGGATCATGTAGAAATGGCCTTGCTTTCCCAACCTGCTACTGTGTGCTGTGTGTTGTGTGCTGGAACACCTTTCTTTTCACTCCTCTTCTGGTTATTCACTTGATATTAGAAGCCCATGGCAAACTGTTCCCTGCGTTTTGCTTTCTCGGTGAATTCTTCCCAGGTAATCTTATCTTGTCCCACACCTTCTACCCTTCAGTGGAACACTGTAGGGCTAGGATATTGCTCAGTTAGTAGAATGCTTGCTTTCCATCTCTTTACATATTTCAGTTCTGCATTGGGCTCTCGGAGAGCATTCCAAGATCACCACGACAACAACTTGCATCCATCCTTTCTACGTCTGTTTCCATCCTAGCAGAATCTACTCTCCCTGGCCTAGGTTGAGTGATGCTTTGTTATAAAGTGCATCATGCTAAAGTCCCTGGGTGGCTTTCCACTCATCACATTTAGCAGACAGGTCCAACCACTGCCATTAGTTACAGATGTCTGTCTGAGTCTGTCTAGCATTCCCTACTTTGTATGTCTGCCTCCTATAAATTTTTATTCCATTATTCTGATGAAAAAACAACATTTTTTCCCCTGATTTTTTAAACATATCACTGTCAATTAGCCAAAGAGATCAGGATTTTACATTTTTTTCTTTTCTGGTTTACATTCCAATTATTTTTTTTCTTGAGTTCCTGTTTTTATGAGTATTCCATGTAGTTCAAGTCTTTAAAAATGCACCTTCTAACTCTCTATTTTGTAATCATCATCTAATCACCCAGCTGCAATCACTCATTGAACCCATCCCACAGCACTAATAACACTTGATGTGAGTGTGGGTGTGCCTGCCAGTGTGGGTGCAAGTGTGTATTTGTCTCTTGTGAGTTACTAAGCTGATGGACCAAGTGCACTTATCTTTCCCAGTACCCAGAGTGCTGTGACTGCATAGAAATTGCTGGTAAATATTCTATTGCTATGGAAAATGGGAGATAAATATACATCTCACTAGATAGTATGCAAGAGTCTACCTTCAGTAATTTGTTTCTGATGATGGAAACATGAAAGACAAGCATTTCTGAACTCTGTCTGCTTGCATGCCTGAATGTGGTGGGAGAGTTCAAACAGCAATATTTTCTGTCTTGATTGTCAGGTACCATCTAATTTCTTCTAAGGTGGCACATGCTAAGTAAAAGATCCACAGAGAAACGTGTTGCCTTAGTCATGGTCTTCCTTTTATTTCAGAAGCTGAATGGTGGGAAGGCTCACGAACCTAAGACATATATTGAATATTTTTTGGTCCTGGATAATGGTGAGGTAATTACATCGGATAAATGCATCTCACAAAATTCTCTTGTGCATAAACTTATTGTGTGAAACATAAATGTCTAGGTCCATTTGGTATTCAAAAATATGAACCATTTAGAGAAATTATTCTAAGTCTATGAAATTGATATTTATAATAAAATAGACAAGTGTTTCTCCTCAGAAATAAGCAAATGACAAATATATATAAATCTCATTGTTGGTCTTATAAATCTCTTTTCTTACTATCTTTAGAGATAAAATTTAGTTCCCATTTAAACTCCTTCATCATGTTGTCATTGGTAAGGCAGTTAATTTGTAATATAGGATTTATGTTCTGGAGAAGGCAGTCATAAGTGCAGAAGCCCAGTGGATGGGCTCTTTGAAGAAAGGCAACCTTTGGTGATAGATCCCAGAAGACAATTTCTTTTCTAGGAACACATTTTCTAATTGTGAGTTTCTAAACAAGCACTCTGTGTGTTTAATGCAAAAAAAAAATGCTTGGATATCAAAACTATGGGGAAATTAGTTAGCCCAGAACCCAAATCTCTGGTCTCATTGCATTAGATACATCTACTATGCATATATTTATAATGATAAACTGTGCTTTTTTCTGATTATGCACAGTTGGGAAAACATGAAACTTAAAGCACATTTAGAATAAATCCTTTGCTCTACTGTGTCACGGTTTTACTTGAGACAGAGTCTTGGTATGCAGCCAACACTGTCCTTATCATGGTCCTCTTGCCTCGGTCCCCAACTGTTGAGATGGCAGGTGGACCAGCATGCATGGCTAAAGTTTTAAGAGCTATATGCTCTCCTGCTATTTCAAGGGAGGAAAAATATGTTATTCCCAGAAAATTTAATGTTAATTTCCATTGAAGATGAATTAATTTGCTTTTATCTTTTAAATATTAATAAGCGATAATTACTTATAATCACTGTAAAGTAAGTTAAATTGTCTCCAATTATATTAATTGCTATCAGCTCCCATTTCTATTTCTGTCTTTTCCTTGCCTTTTAGTTTAAGAAGTACAATAAAAATCTTACTGAAATAAGAAAGAGAGTGCTTGAGATGGCCAATTACGTCAACATGGTATGTTATATTTTATTAAATATAACTTTAAACACTTTGTTAAGAGATGACCTTGAATGTTTCTATGAATGAGCATGAGTCCAGGACGGGGAGTCAAGTCCCCTGAAGCTAAGGCTAAAAGGGACTCCAAGGAATGATGATGGGTTTTGCTATTTCAGTAGGTATTAATATTGCTGAAAGGTCAGCTTCCAGCAGGCCAGTGAGAATGAAGAAGAGTATAGTGATGGCGCAGCTGTATACACACAGGAGACTTCTGAGGGCCAGAGCTTAATTCTTCATTATAGTTTTCTTTCTATAGCTTGTTCTGTTCTATGTTTCCCCTTTATCCCTTTTATACCACACAAGACAAAGATTTCTATGCAAGGAAAGATCACCTCCTCATCACAAGCTACTTATTTTAGAAATCACATTATAAGCAGAAACTACATGTTTTCCTTAGAAGCCCATACGTAGCTAAATTATTTTTTGGTATTAATTTTCCCAACATAACATCTTCACCCCAAAGCAATGGTTCTTTTATTACCTATTAGCAGAGTTTTTAACAAGTCAAGTATTTGTCAGCCAGTTCTTTTGTACTAACAGGCAGCTGCTTGAGCTTTAGTGAATGTAGCAGATTTCTATTCTTTACTCTTAAACAAGTGGTCAGCTGATCATCAACTTTTCTTTGCACATAATGGAATCATTTAATTTTCTTTCACAACTTTGTTTTTTCAAGGTGCATGCCTGGTCCTGTGATTAATTCTCTAAGCTATATGTTCAAGGAACTCAGGCTCAATCTTGGGTGGTCATAATACTTTCTTTCCATGGGCAGAATTTATGGGTCACAGTGCACAAAACATCTCTGTTCTTATTTTCCATCCTCTGCAAATCTTATATCTAACACGGTAGCTTCTAGCCTAATTGTGCTCTTTTTCTATCTCTTATTGGAGCAATTTGCAGAGTAACCTAAACTGATTCCCTAGTCATCTTTATTAACTGTTCTAACCACTTGTATCTTTTGGATTAACTTCAAAAGTATTTGATACTTTCCAATTAAATCATAGATCTAATTAATCACCATAGCCCTTATAAAAAATCATCTTCATCATGATCTGAAAGTTAATTGCCCAGAAAGGAGTGGGATTTTTTCAAGAAACAATCATACTTCTAGATACAGTGGGGTCCATTCATTTAGTAATCACACCATGCCACCATACACAGCAGGAACATAGCAGCAGCAAGCAGAAGGAAGCGTAAGAGCAAGGGGTACTCTGGAAACAATCCTCCTGGGACTTTGCCTCTGCAGAATGTACCCAGCATAACTTTGCTATCTATCTACTGGGCTGTATTCCATAAGCTAAATTGACATCCTCTGATATCCCCACCATCATATTAGTACCACCCTGTGCTCAAGACCAAAACCAACAAATCAAACTTTATTTAGTAAGAGTTTTCCCCCAAATCCACTTAAGAAACTATTTGTCTTAGTTAGAGTTTACTATTTCCCCACCATGACCGCAGCAACTCTTATAAAGAAAACATTTAATTGTGGTGGCTCTCTTACAGTTCAGAGGTTCAGTTCATCATGGCGGGAGCATGGGGGCCATGCAGGCAAGCATCGTGCTAGAGATGTAGCCAAGTGTCCTGTATCTTGCAGCAACAGGAAGACAACTGACTATTGCATTGAGTGAGACTTGAGAAAAAGACCTCAAAGTCTGCCCCCACAGTGATACACTTCCAACAGCGGGTGTGGCTCAGATTAAATATGTGCCCTCCAGCCTCAAGGTATGGATTAGAGGTGTGTCTCACTCAGCCTCTTCCAACAAGACCACACTTCATCCAACAAGCCACACTTCCTAATGGTGCCACTCCCTATGATCTTATGGGGTCAAATATATTCAAACTAGCCCAATACTGATATCCAAATCCCAATAGAAAATTATTCCAGGGAATTAAAAGAAAACAAAAACCAAAATAGACCCATTAAGTCCAGAACTCTAGTACCTTTCTTACCCATATTAGCTCATTCAATCTTGAAAACAACCCTCAAAATGTTACTTAAGATAATTTCCAGATGAGCATTTTTATCTGAAAAATTATAGCAATGTGCATAGTGATAAAGGACATGACACTTTTGAAAGATAAAGTGCACTGAAAATATTAAACAGTAATCTCACTATTATAACCCATTGCTTTTCTATGTATTCTCTTTGGACAGCTTTACAAAAAGCTTAATGCCCATGTAGCCTTAGTTGGAATGGAAATCTGGACCGATGAGGATAAAATAAAGATAACCCCAGATGCCAACACCACCCTGGATAACTTCTCTAGATGGAGAGGAAATGATCTACTAAAGCGGAAGCATCATGATATTGCCCAGTTAATCTCGTATGTATAGTTTCTTCTTTGCACTCTGCATGACATGTACCATAGACTCTCTTGTCAGAGCCTCAGCAATGAAGTGATATCTTGGGGCACATGTAAGATATAAAAAGAAAATTGAAAAAGGGAAATTGAAAGGGTTTTAAAAAATACTCAACTGGGTCCTTGTTGAATATGATTTACTTTGGGTCCACATATTGGCTTTTGAAAAAAAAAAAAGTAAAGATAAGGAAGTTATTATTTATCAGAATTCTGTTTTATTGTGTTTACACAGAAGAAGGACAAATTTAGACCATGAAAAGAAGGATTTAGACTGTGTTTAGAAGAACCTACTCACTTTAGCCACCAGATAGGAGAAACTTCTAGAATCAAAGTAAGATTGACTGTTGTATTAAAACCCCGGATTGGGATTACTCTGCTGAAGGATCATTTGAAAACAAGAGATAAAATAATACAAGGAATGAAAGTTTCATTGAACTTTGACTTCTGAGATCAAGAATGTGCCTCTGCACAGGTGCATAGTTTCAGTCATTTCCGACAGGAGGAAGCTGCCATCATGGATTTGAAATGACTAAAGAGTCTGCTTCCTCAGGCAACAGGGCATGACATGGAAGTGGGTGGCCTATGTCCTGTAGAATTAATTTATATTTTGTACTGATCATAACAAATTAATTCAAAACTTATGAGTTTAATATAAGCTTAATTCCCATATGTATGTACACACACACACACACACACACAAACACACACACACACACACACACTTGGGCTAGTATGGCTGGAACAGGCCAGGTTGTATTCCTCTATATACAATCTTTCATGTGGTCAGCGTAGATTTCCTCCAGTGTAGCCGTCTTATTGCAGTAGGATTTTAAAAAAGTGTTTGGCTTTTCTCACATCAGCATTCCTTGAAGTCCAGGAGAAATTTGGCTCATTGTGACCTAGCCTTAAAGTTTACACAGCACCACAACAGATGTGTGATCTTAACCACAATAGATGTGTGCTCTTAGCCACGATGGATTATGATCTTAATGGCAATGGATGTGTGCTCTTAGCCACAATGAGTGTATGATCTTAACCACAATGGATGTATGCTCTTAGCCACAATACTTATATGGTCTTAACCAAAATCCCATACCACAGTACCAACCCATTTCCAAGATAAAGGTGCTCATTGGGCTATAAGTGCTACAGGAATGACTCATTGAAAGGCACAGTTGGAGAATAACAAGCACAACTCCTTAGCTTGGAAGAGTGACTTCTAGATTGAGACACACTTTTGGGTGGAGTCTGTTCCTTAAGGAGAAATGTAATGAGTTCCTAAGTAATGACCTTAGTTACTAGAGAACCTAAGCGATTTGAACTTTTCCAAGTCAGTCAAATTGCTGTATATTTATATACTAAGAGCAATGGCATAGAGAGATGAAAATCATAGGCAGGATTTAAATGTGTAGGTAAATTTTAATGGAATGCTGAGAAGATATTTCTTGAATGGATTAAATGATGGCTGGCAATTTAATTTGCTCCAGTACTTGTTTAGAGTTCTAAATAAATTGTTTATAAAAATACAGGTTCCCCATTTTTACATTCAATCTTTTCTTCCTTACAGCTCAAGAGACTTTTCTGGATCAACAGTGGGCCTCGCTTTCATGTCTTCAATGTGTTCCCCTTATCATTCTGTTGGCATCATTCAGGTCTGTTTGAAAATCAAATATTGGTTCTATGCATCTCCCAAACTTTCCTACTCTGTCCATGGAGTTAAGGGTTTCCTACTGCTGCTTCTGGGTAAATACAGTGACTGAAAGGAAAACATTGACCTAATCTTGCATTTTGGGATAAATCTGATGTATTCATAAAGTGTTGTCATCATTCACAATGCTAGTACATCTTCAGGATCCCTGCTCTAGACTCAAGGGTCATATCAATCTAGAGTTTGATTTTTACTATAGCGTGATTATTAAAGGTTTGGTTGTTACAGTGAATTTGACCACACTAAAGGACTTGGAATATATTTCCAGCTCTGATTTTCTGCACTGTTGGGTAGACTTGCTACTGTTTCTGCCAAAATGTTTATTACAATACACCAGTAAAACTGTGTGGTACTGTAGTTTTCTTTTAGAAAGAATTTTGAAGTCAAATTTTATTGGTTCAGTCAACTTTGGGACTGTTCAGATTATCTTTATTTGAGCAACCTCGATAGTTCCATCTTTCAGGGGGAAAAGATGTTCACTGACTGACTATATTCACTACAATCTTTTCTATATGGAGCTAACTTACAAGCTTATCCTCTTATAATATTGATTGTAAATACCTTTTCTTTTTTTGTTGTGATCAATTTTAGTTTGTGTTTATCAATTTCTTTGCTCTATGCAAAAATCATTGGTACTTCCAATAGTTTTTCCTCTAAACATCATTTGTTTCCGGCCTTGTCTTACTAATTCTCTTTCCTTTACTTATATTGCATTTTATTTGTTCTTCTTTAATTCAATCACTGCCTCACTGTATATTGTTTTAGGTGCATCAGTACACTGAGATTTTTTCACCTTAAATAATTCATAATTCTTCTTTTTAGACTTAACTCTTATATTACCTATTAGTGTTATGTAAAATTTGTTATTTTTATGCACTGGAGTGCAGTCCGTAGAATTTTGATTTTTTATATTTGTCTTTAGTTAATGGTTCCATATAAACTGACATGAAAGTATCTTCTGTGAATGTTCTATAGTTGTTAATAACATCCAGGTAATTTTAGTGTTGTTGAGATTTGTTCAGTCTTAATGAAAAGTAGGCATTAAAATACCTAAACATAGTTACTGGGGTTTGTTCTTTTTATCTTCCAACTGTATATTTTTGCTTCATGGGTTTTGAAGCTCTGTGGTCAGGTATTTACATAAGTACAATCACTGTCTCCCTGAAGAGCTGACTTTTAGTATCTCACAATCCTCACAAATGTTCATTCTTAAAGTGCTGATTGTTTTAGTGTACACTTTGTATAATGCTGAAAAGGTTATACCAACATTTTGTTTGAATAATCAATATCTTTACTTACTTGTGTGTTTTGTGTGTGTGTGTGTGTGTGTGTGTGTGTGTGTGAGAGAGAGAGAGAGAGAGAGAGAGAGAGAGAGAGATTCAGCAGAACTCAACACCAAGAGTATGTCATCATGAGAAGTACACGTAATTCTCCCCTGTTATTACCCTTAGGATCACAGTAACTACCATCTTCGAGTTGCAGGGACAATGGCTCATGAAATGGGGCACAACCTCGGTATGATCCATGACTATTTGAGTTGCAAGTGTCCATCTGAAGTCTGTGTAATGGAGCAGTCACTAAGGTGAGGGTGTTGGGGCATGCTGTCTGTCCCTGGTTTTGATGTACTATGGTTGGTGCTCTCCTCAAGGTAATAGTCAACAACTTGTTCAAGACTTTATGTCTTAGAATTGGAAGAATTTTAACAAAATCAGGAAGTTTACATTTGTTGTCAAATTTTCCATAAACTCAGAAAGAGTGATTATAGTACAGAGTGTTTGAAGAAAAATCTGATGTCCTTCAACAACAGAAGAGTAAATAAAGAAGATGTGGCACATTTACATAATGGAGTATTTCTCAGTTGTTAAAAAATGCCATCATCAAATTTTCAGGCAAATCGATGGAACTGGAAAATATCAGCCTGTGCAAGGTAACCCAGACCTAGAGAGACAAATATAATCTGCCATCATCAGAGAAGGTTCTTACCACAGATGGGAACATAGGCCAACATTATACAGAGACTGAGAAAGCTTGGAACATTCAGTCTTAAATGGGATGTCTCCTCCATTCTATTCCCCCTTTTAGGACCCAGGGAACATTGCAGAAGATGGGGCAGAAAAGTGTTAGAGCAAGAGGGGATGGAGGACACCAAAAAAAAAAAAAATCCTTGTAAATCAACCAGAGTAAAGCATATGAACTCACAGAGACTGAGGCAACATTCCTAGGGTCTACAAAGGTCTGCACCAGGTCCTCTGTGTATATATTGTACCTTCCAGTTTAGTGTTTTTGTGGATTCCTGAGTGTACAAATAATTGGGTCTTTGATTCATGTGCCTTCTCTTGGGCTCTTTTCCTTCTATTGGATTATCCTGTCCAACTTCAAATAGTTTTTGCTTTGTCATATTACATTTTATTTTGTTATATTCTAATATTAAATCTTGGAAACCTGTTACTTTCTAATGAGAAACAGAAAGTGAGTGGGTCTGTGTGGGATGGGCATTGAAGAGGAAATGGGAAGAGTAGAGAGAGGGGAAACCATCTGCAGGATATATTATGTGAGGAAAAAATAATCTGTTTCATAAAAGAAAAAAATAAGGAACTTCTTAGAGGGAAAAATGGGAAAGATATTTATATCCCTATGTTTCTGGAAAAATTTCCACATAATCTTATCCAATTCTCTATCTATCTATCTATCTATCTATCTATCTATCTATCTATCTATGCATATGTGTATTTATTTATTTTTTTTGTTTTGTTTTGTTTTGTTTTTCGAGACAGGGTTTCTCTGTGGTTTTGGAGCCTGTCCTGGAACTAGCTCTGTAGACCAGGCAGATCTCGAACTCACAGAGATACGCCTGCCTCTGCCTCCCGAGTGCTGGGATTAAAGGCGTGCGCCACCATCACCCGGCTGATATGTGTATTTATATATGAATATACATATATGCATATAAGTATATATATATATATTTCCTCTTTTCTGTTCTTATCTTTCTGCCAACTCTATTATTAAATTATTTTAATAATTAAGAACCTGAATTCCCTCCAATTACACATTTAGTATCATTTCTCCCAGATATTATTGCATATTTAAGGCTCACCTTCACTTATAAAATGAAGAGAATATCAATGGTACTTACCTAAGGGAATATGATTTATGCATAAAATTGGACTGTTTTCCATAACGATCCAGGAACAAGAGAGACTACATGAGCTGGCCAAGAAGCATTTTTGTTTTCATTAAAAGTGGTCAATATGCTATACTTTGAGAATGGTCATATTTACCCACTAGGCTGAGATATTAATGTCCACACAAGTGGGCGAATTTAGAAATTTAGATGTTTGCTTAACTTAGTACTTGGTCAGTGTATTAGATTTGATCTCTGCAGTTATTAGTCAGTATCATTATTGCTAACCCCTGTCGTTACCTCCCATAATTAAAGCATGGTGGTACTGCTTTTTCTCTTTATCTACATAGGTTCCATATGCCCACAGACTTCAGTTCCTGCAGCCATGTCAACTATGGGCAGTTTCTTGAAGGCAAATTGTCTCATTGCCTCTATAATACCCCACTGCCTTCTGATATCATATCCATCCCAGTGTGTGGCAACCAAATACTAGAGATGAACGAAGAATGTGACTGTGGCTCCCCCCAGGTACTTCTAGCCCTTTGTACAACCACCTAGCTCATTTATCAGTTGCTGAGAACATAAAGCATACAAGATTATATCATACAACTGAATGGTTCTTCAGACTTTGGATTGGTAGGTATTTTTCAGGCTAGTCTGCCAAGGAACGTGTGGATCTTAATGTATCTTGATTTTTCCCACTAGATCCCTTTCCATCCTCACTTTGTAGCATCCCTCCCAATGTCTTCATCCTTAAAATTCTGGTTATATTCTTCAGGTAGCTCAAGCAACTGTGGATCAGTGAGCATCACCTTGGGGGCAGCACTACAGCAGTGTTTAGAGAGTGAATCGTTTGCTTCCCCGTGCCCACAGACCTGGCCAGAGCGAGAGTCAATATCTAGACCCAGGTCTTGTTTTTTGACTCTCACAGCCACATCACAAGTCTCACATCTGTCAAGACTCAGAACTTGTTGGCATCACAATCCAAACCCCACCCTACTCTCATCCTATTCACAGGCGGGCCAGAACTCTAAATAGGGTTCTACCCTACCCCCATTTTATTTTTTAGCACTTAACAGGTGTAATGCATGATTCCCTCTGGGGACTGGCATTGCAATGACTTCAGAATAAGATTAAAGATTTATTCCTTCTATTCTCAAGGTTAATCTTCCTCTGATGATGGCTTTACTTAAATTTAGGGAAGTAGTTTTAACTCAAAAAGCATTGTAACTCTTGAAGTCTCGCTTTCCAGTAGGAGTCTTGACAGGTACAGTGGAAATTGCCTGAGATTCTAGTTTCTCCAACTGTAGAAAAAGGGTTTGGATCTTTCAAAAAAAAAAAAAACCCAAAAGCCAAAGAAATTATGATGCTTTCGTGGGTGTCCAACCATTTGACATTGCAATATGATGTCACTTACAGATATGTTGAGTCACATTAGAATTTATTCTGGGACAAGTACTAGAATTGAATTAATGGCCAAAATATGTATGTTGATGACTAATTTAATAATATTTAATATCTATATTGAAAATGGAATTAAATTGAAGATGAGATAGAGCCACAACTAATGAGTAAGATTATTTATGTTGGATTGTCCTAAAAATCTATGCTTTTCCTTTTGTTTTCTTTTTCTTTAATTTATTTATTTATTAAGGATTTCTGCCTCCTCCCCGCAACCGCTTCCCATTTCCCTCCCCCTTTCTTTTATATTTTATCAAGAAAAATAGAACTTATGAATAGTCCTATTAAAGACTTGTGAGGAACGTATTGTTCAAAAGAATAGAAAGCATATGTCCATTAAAACATATGAGAGACCTTACCCTTTCTGGAGAATGGATGGGGGTGGGGGAAGGTAGAGGGTGAGAAGAGGGTAGGGAGGGGCAACTGGAGTTGGTATGTAAAACGATTAAAAAATATGTAAGAAAAGTCAGGTACACATAAGCCATCAGCCGCTCAGACTCTTTCTAAGATCTGGGCATATCTCTATTTCACTATAGGAAATTTTTAAAAGATGCCAAGTAATGTATAGCAAACAAGCTATACATGGAATTGTCCTGAAATAATATGTCACTTTCATCTGCCTGATATTTTCTAGGAGTGTACCAACAGATGCTGTGATGCGAAGAGCTGTAAAATCAAAGCAGGTTTCCAGTGTGCCCTGGGGGAGTGCTGTGAGAAGTGCCAAGTAAGGGTCATTCGTGCCGCTTTTATAACTATGACTCTTCTTCTGTACTAATGCTGCAGTGACTATGTTAAGTCGCACAGACACAAAAATGTTTTTCCCCGTAGAAAATAATGACCCAATCACTCATTGGGTATTTTTCCAACTCAACCAGTCTCCCAACAATGCAAAGGAGATATTATCTCAATTTTCTTTTGATTGAAAGGAGTCTTAGAGCAGAAAATGTGAAAAAAAATAGTATGTCTCTTATTTTAACAATCAGAATAGTCCATGAGGGCATTATAGCAAGTGAAAGAAAATAGACTCAGAGAGCCAAAGGCTGTGCGATCTCTTGTAAACGCAGACTCTAAAAAAGTTGACTTTAGGACTCAACATGTGGTTCAGCTGGCAGAGTGCTTGCCTAGCATGCATGAAGCCCCGGGTTCAAACCCCAATGCAGCATGAGCCAGGTATGGTCATTCATGCCCTTAATCTCAGCAACAAAAGGTAGAGGAAGCAGGATCAGAAGTTCAGAATTATCATTGGCTACATAAAGAAGTCAAGGCCAACCCGGATACACAGATCTCTCTCTCTCTCTCTCTCTCTCTCTCTCTCTCTCTCTCTCTCTCTCTCTCACACACACACACACACACACACACACACTGAAATGCCACATTGTTCATCTTGAATTCATACAATGTGATTTTTGAGAAATATAAAACATGGTCATTATTTAGTAGACAAATCAACACGGGCAAATATGACCAGCTCCAAGGCCATTGGGAGGTTCTCCTTCTGCTTCTTCTCATGGGTACCCACAACTTCAGGCTTTCCCCTAGACAGCATAATATCAGTGGATGGAACTTACCTGTACTGATAGATCTGTTAATAAAGTGTTTTGAACTTAGTGGTGCTTCTCATATCTTAAATCAGCACCCAAATTCAAAAACACATTATTTAAATCTAAATTTAAGGGCTCACCCTCACTATATGGAGGAGAAAAAGAGCAGAAATTTATACTGGAGAGATGAGAGAACAGTTCACCTGAAAGCAGTATTTCCTATGACTGGGAAGCAGAAAGGAACTGAAAAGTTTGTTTTTTAATCAAAGTTTCTCTGCGGAAATAGGGGCAAAATTTACAGTACCATTTCAACAGAGTTCACGTAACTAGAGCATCCTTGGTTATTTCTTTCTTCGTAATGCAACATTCCATAACAAGAGTTGACAAGAAATACCCGAATCTAGAATGAAAAGAATTGAGGAAACTTGATGCCTGGGAAAGTCTTGAGGTATGCGAATCTGGCACTTGGAAGGCTGTCTCCTTTTCCAGCAGAAGGTTCACTTAACCAGCAAATCCTGAAGTTGCCAACTTAAAAGTCATAAATCATGACAAAAAGAAGCATTCAACAAAATGAGACTGGCAACTCTTTGCTCTCCATCTGAGACATTGCCTGGCATGCTTCCTATTTTACTTTATGCTTCTTTAGTATTTGCATTGTAAATTCAAAATATTAATTGCTTAAGGACTCAGAGTATTGGTCAACATCAACACTAATGACATGACAAGGATGTAATGCAAAAACAAATTACAATAATAAAAGAATGTCATAGCCCAGAAGATCAAATGGATTTGCTTATGTTACTTTTGAATGTCAGGGCGTGCAAGGGGCAAGGTGATACATATTTTCTATTTTTCTTCTCTTGCAGCTTAAAAAGGCTGGGGTTGTATGCAGAGCAGCAAAAGATGAATGCGATCTGCCTGAAATGTGTGATGGTAAATCCAGCCACTGCCCAGTTGACAGATTTAGAGTCAATGGCTTTCCTTGCCAAAATGGGCATGGCTATTGCTTGAAGGGCAACTGTCCCACCCTGCAGCAGCAGTGCATCGAGATGTGGGGCCCAGGTAAGATACTGTATTTGTTACTTTTCTTGCTACTGTGACAATAAAGCAAAGAAGAATACTTAAGGAAAGAACAGTTGGTTTTTGTCTCTTAGTTCCAGCAGAAATTCTTCATGGTGGAAAATCTTAGGTTGCAGGAGTTTGAGGCAGGTGATTATACTGTATCCCCAGTTGGTTATACTGTATCCCCAGTTGGTTATACTGTATCCCCAGTTGGTTATACTGTATCCCCAGTTAGGAAACAGAAGAAGAAGAATGCCTATGCTCCCTTTAGTTTTCCCTTTTTATGCAGTCTAGGACTACAGCTCTTAGGATGATGTCACCCAAGATGGACTTTCCCTCCTCAGTTAAGCTATACCCAGAAGTGTGTTCCCATGGTGAACCTAGCACTTATTAGGTTGGCAATGAAGATTAGTATCACAGTGGCAAGTTCCTCTCCATGTCTACATCATCCCAGTGATGATGTTTGGCCTTGACCAAAGGACCAAGCTATCCCATTCTTCCTAGAAATGGTGTCACTTCTCAAAATCAGAAATAAGTGTATTTTAAATTTTTAATTGGAGAGTTTCATACATGAGTACTCTGTATGTACATCAATCCCACCCCTTTCCTTAGCTCCTCCCTCCCCCAGCTTGCTCTCAGACTCATGAGATTTTCCTTTTTCTATATTACTACTAACGTACACACACACACACACACACACACACACACACACACACACACCACTGACTCCATTTAGTGATGTTCATACATACACATGTGTTTAGAGCTGACCATTTGGGATGGTATACAGGGTGTTCATAGGTGAAGAAAACTGATTCTCCCTCCATCTCTCCCCAACCATTGGTTCCTGAAAATTTTTATCTAGGGGCATGGCCTGGTGGGTTCTCCTATTCCTTTTGTGTGTTGACTGGTGTGATTATTATACAGATCTTGTTTAGGCAATGGCATTATTGAGATTTCATGGGGTCATATCTAGAAGATGCTATGTTGCAGCCGACATCTTGGTCCTCTGGCTCTTACAGTCTTTCGGCTCTCCTTTCCATTATGTTTCCAGAGCCTGAGATGTAGGAATTGTACTGTAGATGTGTTAACTAAGGATGGGGACCCCATAGTCATGTATTCCCTGCATTTTGGTCATATTTGTATCTCTTTAGTAGTCTCTGCGTGCTGCAAAAATAAAATAAACTTTAAAAAGCTTCATTGATAAGGGATTAAGAGCAGTTGTTTATGGGTATAAGGATAAATGTTTAAAATAAAAGTAGCAACTGTATTGATTAGGAAAAGTGGTAAAAGTAATTTCTTGTTTAATGTCTATGACCTCTCCAGCCACGGGTTATTGATAGTACCAGGCATGAATTTCCTTGTATTTAACTAACTATTAAATCTATCTAGATAGCTGTTAGTTAACTCCAAGATATAAGTGCCGCTATTGCACCATTGGGGAGATCCTGTTGGGCTAGTCATTGTTGTAGTCAAAGGCACAACAGCTGTGCAGAACTAGTCTCCCTTGGCAGCTTACATGGTACCTTCAGATACTTCTGAAAACTGATTTTAGATTATAGAAACACATGTTGTATAATCTAACCTAAGATGTGGTGTGTGTGTGTGTGTGTGTGTGTGTAATTGTGTCACAATGAGTGATAACACTTGTTCACAGGCATCATAGACTATCTAATAAGCACCCTAATGACAGGCAATGCAGTCCCTTGGTGGTGTAGCTCATGGGCTGTCCCATAGACAACCTCCCCTTTAAATATCACATGCTTTTACGCTACCCTTGGTTGTCTCTCAAAACTTGAAGGTAAGACATTTTGCTGAGGACACCACACACTTCAGATCCAGGAAAGTAGAGGAATCAAGTTGGATGCAGGCATATTTTTAAGACCAAAAGTTTAAAGATAGCAAATAAAAAGGCTGCTCTAGTGAAATTTTACTTTGAGATTGACATTTTTTTTGTTTACCTTTCTGACCATAAAAAGCTTTTCAAAACTCATTTTTATCTCAGATTTGAATTCATCTGTGCACACAGGCATGACAGTGGTGCTGGTGGACAGGCCATGAGCTCAAGTGGGAAACAAGTAAATGAAGACCCATGGAAGGCAGAAGAGCAGTGAGGGAGCACGAGAACATTTCAAAGACCATTTTGTCCACTCAAAGTTTAGTGGCCACACCAAGGAAATCATAACACAGGCTTTAAAATAAAATGCACTGGCTGAAGGCTCTAAGATGGCTCGCCTTCCCCTGTAATCAGATTGGTGACTACCCTAACTGTCGTCATGGAGCCTTCATCCTGTACATGATGGAAGTGGATGCAGAGATCTACAGCTAAGCACTGGGCCAAGTTCATGGTGTAGAGTTGGAGGGGAGAATGGATGAATGATATGAGCAAGAGGAGTAGGTCAAGATCATGATGGGGAAACCAGAGGGACAGCTGACCTGAGCTTGTGGGAACTCAAGGACTCTGGACAGACAGCTAGGGAGCCAGCATGGGACTGACCTAAGACTTTATTATCTAGTTATACATGAGTGTAGTTATGTTGAGTATTGACTTCTGTCTGACTCCATCACAAGTTTTGTCTGGCTCGATCCCAAGTCTTGTTATCTCCTCATTTAGGGACCCAGTACATTTTCTCCACAGTTTATTTTTTTCAGTGCCTGACTTTAGTTGAGGTCAAAATTATTCATAGAATTGATATTAAAAATATTTATTAGGTATTGGATAGAGAAGACCATTATTAAATTGATCATTCAAAGGCAGTCACCATAAAATACTAGAAAAGTAGATTTGTTATCAAATTCCATTTTTTTATTTGTACAAGATCATATTTATTTTAAATTAATCTGCAAAAGGTTGTAAGATGCATTCATAAGAAAAAAAAATCACACTTTTGGGTTCAAGATATTCCTGCAAATCAAATCTCGAAGTACTGGAAATGTGATTATGCTATTGTTGAAATAGGAGCAGCGGGGCTGCGTCCCTGGCACTCGGCTGCCCACATGGCTAGCTTAGCTTATGCCCCAAAATAATTACACGGAAACTGTATTCTTTTAAACACCCGCTTGGCCCATTATATCTAGCCTTTTCTCTGCTAACTCTCGCACCTGGACTAGCCCATTTCTAATAATCTATGTAGCCCAAGAGCTGGCTTACCAGGAATGATCTTAACCTGTGTCTGCCTGGAGTGGAAGAATCATGGTGACTCCCTGACTCAGCTTCTTTCTCCCAGCCTTCTGTTCTGTTTACTCCACCCACCTATGTTTTAACCTATGAGGGCCAAGAAGTTTCTTTATTTTATGACACTCCCACATCATGCTATAAACAGGCACTTCATTATAGTGAGGAAATGAAAATGTCCAACCAATATGAACTAAAGCCGACTACACTCCACAGCCCTATAAAGAGCATTAATGAGCATTAGTTAACCTTTGACCTTCTGCAGTTATGAGCCTGCAAAGACTGGCTGCAGGTGTTAGGAAAGATGGCACGAATGTTCACCTAATCCCACACACTGCTGGGAAAATGTGGATTAGTAAAACGTTTACAGAAATGAAGATTTGGAAAATTGACACACAGCCGAAGACACTGTTTTGCCCTCCTTTCCTCTAGCAGGTGAACTCTGAAATATTTATCAATGAAAATTTTTCCTCCGAGACTGTTTTTATGGCAATGAGTATTTGAAGAAGAATTTAAAACCCAAGAATAAAGATGGATCAAACAAACAATAATACATTAATCTAACACTAGTCCTGCTTCTTCTTTTGTTTTAAGATTTATTTATTTATTTATTGCACATGAGTGCTCTATCTGCATGACTCCAGGAGAGAGGATCAAATCCCACTATAGATGGTTGTGGGGCACTGAAGGCCCAGTGCTCTTAACCACTGAGCAATCTCTCCACCCCTGTGCTTCTCTTGTACTGTAGAAAGTTTAAAGTCTAGGGAAAGCACAGTGTTACTGGTTAGGGAAAGGTAGATGTGAAGGTACTTGATGGTGGGTACATGAATGATACTTTCAAATATATTAGAATCTGTAACTCAGAAGTTAGGGATTTTGATTATGACGTTTCCTTTATTTGTACATGAAATTACTTGTTCCAGGAATATATCTATATTGTTTTAATAAGTAATTAATATGTTGCTAAGACCCAAATAATCCCAGAAATAGTCGAAAGGTTTTTTTTTTATCACCTTAAATGAGTAAAACATGAAATTTGTTAAAAGTGTTTCAAGTATAGAAATCAACATCATATTTTTTTCTTGAAAATAGAGGAAACTCTTCATAAGTTTTTGCTTGTTTTACTTTGTTAATTGTCCCTCAGAGGTTTGTATCCAGCTTGCTAGAGTTTAAGAGCTGTTGATCATTGAGTAGGGTAACGAGTCATGGGGTGAGGCTGAGGCTGAGGCTTGGGGAGAGTTGGGTAAAGTTGGCTTCTTATATTCCTGTGTGACTTGGCGTGAGTCTCCATTTCCTTACTGATACCTCACTTAGGATGGCAGTAAGAACTCATATACTACTGAACGGGTCCTGTTCTCAGTGGCTTACACATATCAACTCATTTAATTATCTCATCAAGCCTATGAGTTATGGACTACACCACATCACACACCCTCATTTTATAGATGAGCAAGCTCGGTGGTTAAGTTCAAAGTAGGTCAAGTAGTAGCTCAGTTGTGCTTAAAACCCGAACTCTTAACTGCTGAGCTTAGTGCCCATCTGCTGGCTATCTGAGGCTGATTCCATGGAAAGTGGAGGGAGTGCTTCTTGGCACCGTGCTTGGCACACAGGAGGCATTTGGTTAAACATAACCACTAGTTGTTGTGGCTGCATTTTGTATCTGATTATTAATGCTTGTGGGCCTCTAAAATAATAATGCAATGGCAACATCCTTCTGGCTACGTCTTTTATTTGGATGAAATCTTTTTCAACCCTCAGCAAGTCATACAGATATTTTCAAATACCCAAAGAGCAATTATAACAGAATATTTAAAAGACCATTTTAAATTCCACTTAACTCCTCTGATACTAAGTTATTGAGGCTTGTGTCTGCAAATTCTCAAAAGAAGTATGCCCAAATAGCACAAACCTATATCCCTGATCTCAAAAAGCTAAATACTACATGCTCTAAAATATAAAATTTGAATGTCAGCATTTACCTATGGCACTCATGTAACAGGTTAAAGTTCAGGCACTCTTAAAATGAGTAAAAGGACCAACAGCTATGTGTCTAAAGTATTCATGAAACAGTAAATGAATTTTACTTTTGGGGCGGGTCCTATTCTGTAGCTTTCTCAAGGTATATATGAAAATACCTCAAAGTATAAAAAATTGCAATCCAGAACATTTCCAATCTCAAGGATTTTGGATAAGGTCTATTAAGTCTGTACTCTTAATGCTAACTTTATAGTTTGGTCGTATTATATAGTAACCCATTTCCTACCTATTTTCTCTTTACGTATGTCACCTTCATCTGCACCTGACTCCAGGAACCAAGGTGGCAGATCAGTCATGTTTCCAGCACAATGAAGGTGGCTCAAAGTATGGATACTGTCACATAGAGAACGGCACGCACGTGCCCTGCAAAGCAAAGTAAGTGACGGTATTGTTTGAATCTTTCCCCACAGTCCCCTCTGGTACAACGGCACATTTCCTCCCACGTATCCTGGCTAATTCTAGTTCAAGAGAAATGATGTCTGTTCTAGAGAGATAGTTCAGAAGTTGAGAGCACTTGCTGCTACCATAGAAGACCTGGGTTCAATTTCAGTACCCACATGGAGGCTTCCAACCACCTGTGGCTACAGTTCCAGGGAAACCAGAGCCCTTTTCTGACTCTTTTCTGACTTCCTTATTCAAATGATACACATACATACATGCAGGCCAAATGGCCTCTCTCTCTCTCTCTCTCTCTCTCTCTCTCTCTCTCTCTCTCACACACACACACACACACACACACACACACACACACACACACCGCGCGCGCGCACACACACACACACTCACACACACACAGACACTTAATATAAATATATCTAGAAAAGTATTTTAAAAGATACTTTTTCAATCAGGTGCTTTTCATTATGAGTTTCTGGATAGAAATTTTATCTACCCAAAGAAACCACCAACATATATATATATATATATATATATATATATATATATATATGTGTGTGTGTGTGTGTGTGTGTGTGTGTGTGTGTATATGTATATATGTGTATATATGTATATATATGTATATATATTAAATTTGTCATGACATTTGCATGAGAAAGACTATACTAAGAAATGTGGCTAACAAGTCACCTGAAGTGCTCATTTTAATTTCAGTATCTGTATCCTGAAAGAAAGGTAAAAAATTATGCCAAATAAACTTGAGATATTTTTTTACATATATGTTCTGCCACTCTAAGATTCAAATTTAACTCAAATATTTTGTTTTTCATTTCAATTTTAAATATAGGCATTAAGATGTGTTTGTGTATGTGTATGCCACATGTGTGCAGGTGCCCACAGAGGCCAGAAGAGGGCATCATAGCCCCTAGAGCCGGAGTTACAAGGGTGCGTCTGGAAACAGAACTCTCATCCTGTGAAAGAGCAGCCCTAGTTGGCTTTCTATGAACAAATAAGTGTCTCTCCTGCCCCCTAAGGTGTTTAATAGAGGATCAAATGTTTCATGCCTGTTCCAAATTTTGTAGACAGAATTTGTAACAAAAGGTTGAACAGCAGGAGCCCTTTTCAAAGCTTTCCTACTGAACACTGACATTGTTAGATAATTAATATTAACAGATTAGTTGGGTGGTAGAGACCCATTGAGGGGATCTGGGCCTAAAGGGCAAATTTTGTCATATGACTTTTCCTTTATAGGAACACAGAGCAGATTAAAAATGAAACAGTTATGGAAAAGGCCATACACAGGCTCAGCAAAGTGGTCCATAGAGTGGGAAGGAAGCAGGGCTGGTTCATCATTCCTCTATAGCCTGCGAGTATCTTTTTTGCTTTGATAGTTGTGTTAACAGAAGATAACGAGTATAATAAGAAGCTCAGACATTTCACCCTCTTCCAGAACCATTTAGTCACTTAATAGCCATGACCTGTGTTGAGCAGTTATCTCCACACTTCCTGTGCCCAGCACCATCCTTACAGGCTTGTCACGAATCAGCCTCTGACTATTGAAGAGCACCCAGTGGAGTCTGGAGAAGCTGTGACTTCCTAAGTTTACCAACCCTATTTTCTCCAACCGCAGGCAGTAATAGAAAAGCCTGTTCTCCCCGTTCTCCCACTTCTAGACAACTTGCTCACAGGCATCCTCCAAATTTCGCATACATCACTTAACTGTGACCATATTGGCTTTGGCTTTTTCTGGATTTTCTGGTGGTCAGTGAATGGCTTCCCTGAGCAGTTTAGCCTGCACATCCAGAGGGAGAGCTCTGAGGGCCACATGGACTGCTTGGATTTGTCAAGAGATCTCTGGCTCTGTATTGACCACTCTGTTGTGGAAAACTGAGGCTTTTATCTTTTAGAGTTTATCTGAGGAAAGTAAAATAGTAGAAATAAATGACTGTCTAGGCCCCTGTGTAAGGTCAGGGACCTACCCTTTGTGTATCCTCTAGCTCTGCCCACAAGCTCTTCTCTGTCAGTGGTTGTGTCACCATCTCCACCTATCACATCCAGCCCCAGTTTACCTTCTATTTCTGTGATGAAACACTCTGACCCAAAGCTACTTTTGGAAGGAAGGATTTGTGTGACTTACACTTCCAGGCTCCAGTCCATCACTGAGGGAAATCAGAGCAGGAACTGAAGTCAGGAACCTGGAGGCAGAAGCTGATGTAGAGGCCATGGGGGAGTTTTAATTACTGTCTCCACTCCCCATGGCTTGCTCAGTTTGCTTTCTTACACACCCCAATACTGCCTTCCGAGGGACAGCACTGTGATGCTGGATCCTCCTGCATCAATCATTAATCAAGAAACTTTCCCCCAGACATGCCCATAAACTGGTCTGATGGGGACAATTCCTTAATTAAGATGTTCTCTTCCTAGGTGACTGCAGTTGGTGTCAAGTTGATGAAAACTAACCAACACATTTTCCATCATTTAAACCGAGGGAAAGATGCCCATAAATGGGGCGTGTCCCCTCATTCAAGGCCACCTTCTAGAATTTAGGCCCAAGATTCTTCCCCTACCCCTATTAGCCATAACTTGGATAATTGGCAAAAATTAGTTGTAAAGGGATCTGTATTTGACAAGCAACACATTTTGCTAATATCTGAGGGTCCTATGAGTGCGGAATAAGGACATTGTACAAAGGTACAACCAGAAGTTGCTGCTGTTAGGGAAATATTATTTTTTAAATATTGACAAACAAAGGTTGATTTGCACTTGTATAAGACTGAAATTTGAATTCTAGGGTAAAGTTTTTGATTTTGTTGTTGTGCTCTTGTTTGTAGAGATTCCATGTGTGGGAAGTTGTTCTGTGAAGGTGGGTCACATAATCTGCCGTGGAAAGGACTTACAGTATCTTTTCTGACATGTAAACTATTTGCTCCTGAAGACACCAGTCAAAGAATAGGCATGGTGGCTAATGGAACCAAGTGCGGACAGAACAAGGCAAGTTGAAATTGTGCTTCCATGATTCATTATCTGACACCCACACACGTACCTGGATTTTTAGCTCAGTACTGTTTCTTCCAGTTTCTGTAATCACAGTACACACACTGCTAGGATAATATAGGATGTAGAGGAACAGAGAAAAAACTAACAGAGGCTGAAATAAATAGGACAATTATTATCTCACACAGTGGTAAGTTCAGAGAAACAACAGCCTATATGGTAAACCCAGTGAAGCAATGCCACCACCAAGGCCCAAAAATGTCTCTCCTTGCCTCCTGCCATCTCCAGTATGCCATTCTACACATTCACAACGATGCTCACCATCCAGCACTGCAGGAGCAGGCTGTCCCGTGTGCATCTTTTCTTAAGAAAAGGAAATTTCCAGATTGTGTCTTTGAACAAAATATTCTAAAAGCATTTAGAATTTCTCATTTAGTGTTTTTTTTTTGTGTGTGTGTGTGTGATTGTTCCCCCAGAAAATGATGTGCCCTGGTTACTCTAATTTGTTCTTGTATTGATGAATGGGAAGGGTAAGTGACAGTAAACCAATAAATCCTATTTTTAAAGATAAAAAAAAAAGAAAAGGAAATTTCACTGAGACATAGTTATGAACACCGAGGTGTCGTGAGCTTTCATTGCCCAAAGTTTTACCACCCAATCGCTTGCAGTGTACCTGACAAAGGACAGGGAAGTACCACGTGGCCTATGTTTGTTTAAACTCACCCACAGGACACTGGAAAGCATTTGTCATACAAGGAAGCACATAGATACCAGTGTATTAATAAAGTCAGGTGTACACAGCCATCTTCCTTGTGTGCCAAACAATTCAGATTAGTAATGACCCTTAACTCTACTTCAATACATTTGGATATTTACTGTTGAAAGTTTCCCATTTGCTTTTGACAGAGCATTTTATTCAAATGCAATCATACAGGAAATCGAAATGTGAGAAAAGATGAGAACAGAGCCACAGCCAACACCTGTGGCCCCTCGTATCTTCCACAGAGTTTCACGCTCACATGTTTGTGTTTTGATTTATGTGTGCCTGCACCCATCTCTCTGATAGTGTTTAATTAGTGCCCACGATATGCTTATATCATGTTATCAAACTTGATAAATATTTTAGTATTTACATCTTTCTTTTTTTAGTTTTTGAGTATTTCAGACATGTATGGAGTGAAATATGACAAGATACACCTCCATTTCTCCCTCCAACTCTCCCAGTATCCTCTCCAACACTTCCCCTTATGACTTCGTTGTTATTCCCCTGCCCTCGTCATCTTATTCCTCCTTCTCCTTTTAATAGCTCACTAAGTACTATTAGTGCTGCTCATAGGTGCAAGGATATGGGGCCATACAATACAATGGAACATAAAATCCACCAGTTGTCACACACTCATAGAAAAACAACTCTCTCTTCTTCAGAAGCTGTCAATTGCCAATAGCTCCCTAATAAATGTTGGGACTGAAGATCATCTACTACATCCATGCAGAAATGTTGGTTGGCTTGATCTTATGCAGACCTTGTGCAGGAAACTGAAACAACTCTAGCACTCCTTTGCATAAACACAAAGGCAATTTTTATTCTCCTATAGAGACACTTAAATCCCCATGCTAATTATAACTTTCTACACAATAGTTAGAAAATAGAATCAACTTAGGTGTCCATCAACAGAGATGCAGTATCTATACAAAATGGAATATTAGTGGCAAGGAAAATTGAAAGCACCAAACTTGCACATAGATGGGTAGAAATGAAACAAATTATTGTGAGTGAGGTGATTCAGGCTCATAAAGACAAACTTTGTCAATTCTGGTGCTTCAAAACTGGCAGATGCCCAGTCAATGACAGTGCTTCTAATAATGGTACATAGAAGAAGAAGTATGGCATTTACTTTCTACTCACAGTAGTAACTGTTGTAGCATCATATGTAATGGGATTCCAGCACTCCCTTCCAGATGTTCATTACATCAGTGATGAACATAGTTCATAGTTCATCAGTGATGACCATAGTTCTGTGGTTAGTAATAGGTCCAAATGTGAGGAGCTGTTAGGTGAAAAGAAATACCTATTAGGAAGGAAGCAAAGGTTATCTTAAGATGGCTTTCTAAATATTTTATTATATACTAAAAATTATAGACGTTGGTCTGTCTGAAAACCTGCTAGTGTTTACCTAATAAAATGTTGAGTTTAGTTGCTGTTAATTGATTGGTCAGCAGCTCTTGCTGCTATTTCCTAGTTCCCCAAACCTATAGAGCTCACAACTGCACAAAACTGCAACTCTAGGGGATCTCAAACTCCTTTCTGGCCTCTGCAGCCACTGGCATACATATGACATTCACTCACAGACACATGGATGAAAATAATAGTAAGAAATCTTAAGTAGACACAACAGGCCATATGCACATATGAACTCAAAGCTGCTGTGACAGCATGAACAAGACTAGTGTGAGCTCAACCAGACAAAATCTTATCAGATAGCTGGGAGGTAGGCACACAGCTCTACCTCTAGCTGAGCTATTGTTGGCATCTGATGGCTAATGGAAGAGATGATTTTCTCTAAAATTATATTCCCTGGAAAGCCGATGACACTCTTGTGGAAGGCCACACATTCAAGAATATTTTGACAGTGTAAATTGATTCTGATTTTTTTTTTGTTTTAAAGACATCATATGGGTGGGTTGGGCCTGGACTTGGAAAAAGTTGGGGGAGAAAATACGATCAGAACATATTGGAAATTCTCAAGGAACAGGGAAGTAATAAAAAATTCTTTTAAAAAGATGAGTTTAACGACATAGAACTGATGCAAATTTTCAGACTTAATTTCTGCCAGTCATTGACAGAGGTGGAACCGCTGGAAGCGCTCTGCTGAGTTCGTATTTCCATGTCGTTTCAGGTGTGCATTAATGCGGAGTGTGTGGACATGGAGAAGACATACAAGTCAACCAACTGCTCCTTGAAGTGCAAGGGGCATGCAGTAAGTTTGGAACGCAGGTATCCCCGGTTTGATATGCCATTTCAGTTCTGTTGCTATAAAGCTGAACTCATATGCTCAGTGCTCAGTGACCACAATTACCATGTTTATCTGATCCTCCGGAGTATATAGCATGGGACACTGCTTCTGAGAGACCATTATCGAAATCTTTGCTTGTCATTACTACTTCAGTGCAGGGGTCCTTCTCATGTCAAAATCCACTTCATTGTGAAAGAATGGGACCTTGGATGGTACACTAAGTCTCATGGTGACACAGCATCCTTCTTCCACTAGGTGTGTGACCATGAGCTGCAGTGTCAGTGCAAGGAAGGATGGGCCCCTCCTGACTGTGAGGATTCTGCCGCAGTCTTCCGTAGGTAACTCTGCGTCTCTGGCCTGAAAACCTGTCCCCTTTGGCCAAGCTCTTCCTCTGTTTTTGTATTAGTAACTTTCCTGCTGCTGTGATAAAAATGCCCAACAAAAGTGACTTGAGAAGAGGTAGGCTTGTTTAAGGATGTCCTCTATTATGGTGGAAAGTCCTGGTAGCTGGAGAAGCATGAGGCAGCTGGTTACATTGCTTCCAGAATCAGGAAACAAAAAGATGGCTGCTGGTGGGCACCTCTCTGCCTCTTCTTTTTTAAAAAATATTATTTTATTAAAATCTGTTTCATAGAATGTATTTTGAATATATCTTTTCCCCTTCCCTAACTTCTCCCAGATTCTCTCTACAGTCCTACTCAGACAGCTTCATGTTGTTCCTCTCTCTTTCAAATAAAAGACCAAAACTGAAAAAAATATAGAAAACAAAAATAAGACAAAAAATACCAAAACAAAACAAAAGTTACTCAGAAATACATGGAGTCCATCTTGTGTTGGCCAACTACTCCCAGACATGGGAATTGTCCTGGAGTGAGATTAATATACACAGTGAGAACTCACTGAGAAAACTGACCTTGGCTTTCCTAGTGATTATCAATTGTAGATAATTTTTTGTTTAGGGGTGGGATGTTGTGTCTACTTCCTCTTCTTTCTGCTGGGAGTATGCCTGGTTTGAACCTGTGCAGGTCCTGTGCATGCTGTCACAGTCTCTGTGAGTCCATCTGTATTAATCCAGTTGTGTCTAAATGGTTCCAATTCCTCAGAGTTATCCATCACTTCTAGCTCTTACAGTCTTTTTGCATCCTCTTCTGCATAGCTCCCTGAGCCTTGAGGTGAAGGGTTGATAAAGACAGCTCATTTAGTACTGATCTCTGCCTCTGGCCCAAGGAATGGTTCCACCAACTTTTAGGGTAGATCTTCCTACCTCATTTAATCTGGAAACTTACTCACAGATAGTCCTGGAGTTTGTCTTCTGGATGATCCTAGTTCCTTCACCTTGACAGTATTGTCTTTGACCCTACGATATAGGGTTCATTGTCTTTTTTCTTTCCTCATCAAATTTCTGTTCTGTAGCTATTGAACATATGCTATTCACCCCCAAATTTTCTTTAGCAATATTCAAATAAGGTTTTCAACACTCTTACATTGTCAAACGTCATACAAAAAGATAACTTCATACAAAAAGATAAATTCATTTGTAATATTACTTTACTATATCTTGTTTTCTTGCTTGCTTTATGTCTTATCTATTTTCACAATGCTGCACAATTGTTAGCTAATATTAACTCATGAGACTCTCTGAGAACATGACTTGGATTATGGTGGTAGGTCTAGATTCTGCTTTCTGAGTTAGTTTTCTTTATTTTGAGGTGTGCTGTCTTATTCATTCAAATGCTGCCTCCAGGTTGGCTGTCTTATTCACCCACATCCTGCTTCCAGATGCTCTCCAGCTTATCCACACGCTGCCCACATTTCATTTGACTCTTTTCCTTTGGCATGTGTGATCTTTGTTAGACTAGGGGATAAGCTGACTCAAACTGGTCCAATGAGTCTTCCTTGCATTTGGAGTGTTTGTTGCTCCTACTGACATTTCTTTGGGTAGAAGATAGGACTCAAGTAGGAGGCAGGACGGCAGGACACCCTAAAGGTCGTCAAGGAGGGAATGAGCCACAAGGGAACCTTGACTTTCAGTTGTCATCATCACGAATACTCAAAGCTGAGAGAGAGCTCTATGAATTCCTTTTCTTTTCTTTTCTTTTCTTTTTTTTCAAGACAGGGTTTCTCTGTAGTTTTGGAGCCTGTCCTAGAAATAGCTCTTGTAGACCAGGCTGGCCTCGAACTCACAAAGATCCACCTGCCTCTGCCTGCCAAGTGCTGGGATTAAAGGCCTGCGCCACCCCTGCCTGCGCCCCTCCCTTTTTTTCTTGAGCACCCTCCTTGAATGCCTTTCTTTACATGGCTCGTGGTGGGTGTCTGGAGCCAGATTCAGCCACCTTTGGGTACTCCTGTACCAAGCACCAATGTCTCCAGAGAGAAATTTCTGGAGTTTTGTCCCAGGGTTTGTGAAACTATATCATTCTGTGTACACAGGGATGGGAATGGAGATGTGCTTAGGATGGGCCTGAATGAACTGTTTGTCCCAAGTTCAAATACTCTTTAGGCATTTTAAACAAAAGAATAACATTTAATTTTAATATTTATGCTTCAACTTACTTCTTTTGTTTACCCAATTCCTTCACTTCCTATCTTCCTGAAGATTCTAAACTCCATTACCTTTTCACATTATAAGATGTTTTGTTTTTTTGGGGGGGGGGGACTCAAAAAATTTATTGCATTGGGGGAGAGGTCATGCTTTTGTTTTCTTTTTTTTTAAATTTATTTATTTATTACGGATTTCAGCCTCCTCCCCGCAACCGCTTCCCATTTCCCTCCCCCTCCCCCCTATCACAATGGGGATGTTCTATCGGGAACTCACCAAGGCCAGCTGGCCTAGGTCTGAAAAAGCATGGGATAAATCCGGACTAGCTGAACATAGCGGACAATGAGGACTACTGAGAACTCAAGAACAATCGCAGTGGGTTTTTGATCCTACTGCACGTACTGGCTTTGTGGGAGCCTAGACAGTTTGGATGCTCACCTTACGAGATGTGGATAGAGGTGGGCAGTCCTTGGGCTTCCCACAGGTCAGGGAATCCTGATTGCTCTTCGAGCAGATATAAGATGTTATTATACAATATATTATTAACTGAATTTATCATGTTTGGGGTGGGTTTGCAGGGTAACTCAGAACAGAGTCACAGAATCAACTACTTAATTAGAAAGCTCTTCGATGATTCCAGTTTTCACTAAAAACCTTAAAGTGTGATTGTTTCTCTTTTTGAAGACTTTATTTTTATTCATCTATTCAACTGTGGGAGTTTTGAACACTTATTGGGTTGGTGAAGGTTCCACATAAAAATTTGACATCCTCATTGATCCATTCTATAAAGCACGGAAGAAATACTGACACCCATTGGATCACCCAACCAGTCCACAAGCACAGAGAGATGGGTGGGCTGACCTCTGCAGGCTGCAAGAGCTATGGCCTTGGGAAGGGGCCATGAGATCCACCATTCAGTGGGGTGTTCCTACCATTCAGCCTGGAGAAGACACAGCATTCTCTGGCTCCACTGTCACCCTTAATATAAGCAATGCTTGTAGCAAAATTCATGCCCAAATAAATAATTTAAGAACACAAACTTATGCGTAATCTTTCAGGAGGTTTGTATTCATTCAACTTTCTAGATTGTATTTAAGAGTGTTTATTTCCAAATATTTCTTTTTTTTCTTTTTTTTTAATTTAAATTTATTTATTTATTAAGGATTTCTGCCTCGTCCCCGCAACCCCTTCCCATTTCCCTCCCCCTCCCCCAATCAAGTCCCCCTCCCTCATCTGCTCGAAGAGCAATCAGGGTTCCCTGACCTGTGGGAAGCCCAAGGACATAGAGCTAAATAGAAATATTTTCAAGGGATCCATAGAAATAACATTAGACTGTTAAGTCAGGTCTTCTTTCATAACTGTATTGGAATATACACTGCTCTATTTTGTCCTGTTTAATTGACAATTGACAGGGAAAAACATAAGAGTGTATGTACTTATGAAATACCATGTGGTATTTTGTCACATGTTTACATTACGTAATCTTTTTTTTTTTTTTTTTTTTTTTTTTTTTGGTTTTTCGAGACAGGGTTTCTCTGTGGTTTTGGAGCCTGTCTTGGAACTAGCTCTTTTAGACCAGGCTGGTCTTGAACTCACAGACAGCCGCCTGCCTCTGCCTCCCAAGTGCTGGGATTAAAGGCGTGCGCCACCACCGCCCGGCAGCATTACGTAATCTTGAGGTCAATTTAAACACAACTGCTTCTTCAGACATTTATCATTTCTTTTATTTTGGCTGAGATAATTGTTTTATTTTATAATCTGCTGTTACATTTTCTGGTTTAGACTGAAATAATTAAAATTTACTTGGTGAAGTCTGTATAAAGTCATATACCACATACATGTATTTTCTACTGTATTATCTCATGTGCAGAAGTAGGAAGCAGTGTGCTTTGCAGACATTAACATATCATTAATTTTTCACCCTGATATATAGTATTTGAGAGTTAGACACATATTAGGCAAATCACTGTTTTTAATTGGACTCTCATCCTAGCAAAGTCAGGGTCAGCCTTATCTTTGGACAGACTCTAGTTCTTCCATAAACACGGTTGTCATGTTACAACTTCACTACCTCAAGACTTATTGTAGTCTCTAAAAACATGAGTAGAACTAAGTTCTTCTACACATTAAAAGAGCCATAATATGTGTGTAAAGAAGTAAACATGCTGCATACATATGTTATCAGATAAAGTGCAGTGAAGAATATCCATCATTTCTCGATGGTAAAAGGCCCTCGTAAATTCTTGTTGCAGGTCTTTCAACTGTGCAGTGAATTTTTATCTATGCTACCCCATGTGTGTAATACATCAGAGTTCATTTGTAGATTACAAACTACAAATCCCACGAACCCTTTCCTGGGTCTCCCTACCAGTGCCCTACCACCATCTGCTTCCTAACATGCAGGAAAATGGGGTTTTCCTAGTTATTATTTAGTTAATACTTAGGACAACAATTACATGGTAATCAAAGAATATATTATGTGGAATGTATTCTGAAATTAATTTAAGCTAACTTTATGGCTTAGCACATAGTCATGTGTGCAGGTTTTCTGTGTATGAACAGAAAACACAATAACATGAAGTTTACACTTGTGTCCTCCTGTGTCTATATGTGTTCCGTGTGCCAAGTTAGTCTGTACCATTGCTCCTAAATAATTCCAGTTACTAGTTTATTTTCTTTATTCTACCAGTTACTGTGTAGAAATCTTAAAAATAACCACTCTGAAGATGTATTTCGGGGGTGGTGAGATGGTTCAGTAGCGAGGAGCACTTGTTGCTTTTACGGAGGATGTTGGC